AAAAAAAACCGTCATTTTCTGACGGATTTCGAAACGCGAAGTACTAGATTTTTAAACGGAATAAGTAAGGTTGCTATTGACAACGTGCGCGAAATCGTCAACAGTGAAAAAAAGTATTTCGCGCACGTGACAAAGTTGAACTTAAACAGCAATTTTAATTAACAATCGGTTCAGTTGTAGAAAAAATATTGTATATAACGCTAGCGCGAAGTTATTTCGCGCATTTGACTGATATTTTGACTCGGCTTCGCCTCCTCAAAATACCTTCAGTCTCAATGCGCGAAATTGAACTTCGCGCTCTTGTTATATAAATAACTATTTTCTACAACTGTCAAAAAATCTGTCATTTTCTGACGAATTTCGAAACGCGAAGTATACTAGATTTTTAAACGGCTAATTAATAAGTAAGGTTGCTCTTGACAACGTGCGCGAAATCGTCAACAGTGAAAAAAAGTATTTCGCGCACGTGACAAAGTTGAACTTAAACAGCAAATTTATTTAACTATCTGTTCAGTTGTAGAAAAAATATTGAATATAACGCTACGCGAAGTTATTTCGCGAATTTGACTCAATGCGCGAAATTGAACTTCGCGCTCTTGTTATATAAATAACTATTGTGTCCTTTGGCCACAATTAATTCGATATATATGATACAATTGTACCAACAACAATAGTATATTGAAATACAAGTGTCACAATGCGACCTATTGTAATACGACTATCTTGTGGCACGAGTGGCGTAGCGAAGCGGAGCCACGAGTGTCCACAAGTTAGGAGTATTACAATAAAGCATTGTAATACGTGTTTTTCATACTATTTTTTTCTATTTCGGGGTTTTAATTTAATTAAAAAGTAATTATGAAAAACTACAGGAAACTTTAGAATTAATATGTCTTAAGTTGGCAACACCATTTACGTTGACAAATTTTAAGTTGGCAGCGCAGATAAACACAACACATATTCTGTGCACAGACCATTTGGAAACTTTAAATTCCGTGAATGTGTAATTTTTTATTCGTAAATAAATTTATTTATGGTGGATGTGTAAACTGCTGATTTGTAATGTATTAAGTTCTTCGTGTACCAAAAACCAAGGAAAACACATAAATTTTACGTAATTTGATTTCACATCGTATGATTTGACATTGACGTCTTGGCGAACTGCCAACTTAGAGATGAAAAGTTACCAAAAACAATGTTACAATGGAACTCATTGAAACACTGTTTTTGCCGAAAACAGTTGCACAACATTCTCATTGTAACACCGAAATAGAAAAAAAAGTTTCTCGCATGGTGAATTTTACTCTGCGCGGATAATTAATGCGCGATTTTGTAGGGTCTGTTAAATCTATACTAATACAAGATAAGGCATCACATACGCATATCATTCTTGTGTAAGACACCGAAAGAATTATAATGGTATCAGTTCCTAGAAACAGAAATATGACGGTGGAAATATAGAAAAACACATTTACTATCGTCGTTTTATCTTCGAAGAGTTTAAACTTAAAATTAAATATTTTCAGTGTTACTAAAAATTGAAATTTCGTGGCTCTATGTTAAAGGGATTCGGGGTAAAAAAATAAATAGTGGAGCCGCGCACGGATTTTCAATAAGCCGTAATGTATTTAATGTGTGCCGAACTGACTCCTAACGTCACGTGACTTTTTCGAGTGCCCCGGCCTGTAAGTATCGGTTAGAACGATTCTGCTTTCAATTTGTTGCCGGAACAAAATTCATATCTTGGAAGATGTTGATGTTAGTTCTGTATAATCAATGCTTGTACTAAGAAGCAGGATTATAGCAGCACAGACAGGCAACAGTTTGATCAATCCTGCTTCCAAGGTGTTGCCAACTTTTCAGACCTCATTGCTAAAGCGAAAGTCTTTAGTTTGAACAACACGTACCTTTGTGAACATTTTTAACTAACTACCGACTACGAGTAACCGGAGGTAGAACAAAAAAATTTGCCTAACGCTGGAATTTCTTTGCGGGCTTGCGGCGTCCAGCGGTTGCGATCCGCCGCCGTATAACGTCGATTCGTGACACACTATAATTGTACATACAATGCTTTGCTCGCGGCTCGTCTGGAAGACGAAGCGGGCAGCCATCTCCGGCGCACGTCGGCGTCGCGACGCGACTATACTCAACAAAAGCATGTTGGGACGGTAACTTATGTAATCGTATGTCCTAACTTGCTTCGTTTTCTAGATTGGTTTTTATTTATTTTATTCCCACCAGAGGAAGGCCCTTATGACGACAAATAAGCCTACCAAATTTTAAATTTAAATCGGCTGAAAGGTTTTTGAATAATTCATAAAAAACCGAATTTTTAAAAAACTTTTACACTCTGATTATGTGAAACAAATTTCCTTGTCATTTATCCTCTTCTTCATAGTGTTATGAAATCGTTAAACTTACTTTTTGAACGACCCTCGTAATAAGGGAATTAAGGAAAAAAGAATAGCTCTAGAATTCACTAGGCAACAAACAAAAGATATAAGGACCTGGAATTAGTGCGAAAATATCAAGCACGATCGAAGAATCCAAAAATAATAGCGAGGGTCGGGTGTAGAAATGTAAGATGCCAAGATAATGGAAATGTGCCGTGGTGAGCGAGAAAGAGAATATTGCTTGTTGGGTTTGGGAGTGTAAAGCTGCGTGGTTTGCCAAAAGCCGCCTCAGGAGTCAGGCGATGAGGTAACCTCAGAGAAGATATGTCTGGAAATAAATAAATTTAATGTTGGATGTTCCTGTAGATAAGCTAAAAACTAAAATAATGGGAACACTCTGTAGATGTATGACAAAATTAAAGAAAATGCCGTAACAGATGTAGGTATGTGAAAAACCGTAGCCATTGTGGATTCCGATCAGAAAATTACCCTTGAGGCAGCCTCGTGAGACTGCGGCGCAAGATCGATACGCGGCAGCAGAAACAAAATATTAGACGAATTAAGAGGGTGAAAGATTATAGAAAACAAGAAGAGTATGCCAACAAAGAGATGAGAACAACGAGAATGAGCCAACGTGGACATACGATGAAAGAAAGGAAGAAAGGGAGGGGAAAATTTAAGCATTTAAGTATATAGGTAGGTACATATTATATTTCTCAATTTTGATTTTTTTATTTTGCAACTAGAGCAATGGCGTTTCTAATTAAAATTATTCCTATACCACGTACATCGTTTTGTCCGAAATAAATAATTAATCAATTTTTAAAATCATGTCTGCCATCTTTAATGAAATTTTCGAACTTTTAGCACCTTGAAGTACCTAATGTACAATCTAGTAATTTGTGAATTGCGGGGTTGTTCATTGATACTTTTGAATTTCCTGTGATAAAACTAAACTAGTAGACCAAGCCCGGGCAAAAAGACTTTTGTTATAAGTTTCACATCTTAGTTTGCAGTTACTTGCATAATTAATTAATAATAATTAACACGGCGTATCATTTCGCGGGGGGAATTCTCTATCTGATGCCCTGAGTTTTTCCACAATTAGAACAGGTATCAACAAATCTATAGTTAAGTGAGTCAAGATGAATAAGTTGTGAAAACAGATGAGCTATTTTCTGCTGTCAACTATATAACCTCAGGAGTTGCTTTAATATATCCGCTAATCCGATATTGAAATTCATAAATTTTAGAGACTATACCTACCTTCTTTAGGATCATACGGTTCATATCGCTGCTTAAACCATCTGGAAAATACCTACCTCCGATATTTACCCGAAAAAAAAGGAATAACCTATCTTTTCCTTTGTTAATCTTATAAGTACTACCATGTTTAAATCTTGCTTGTTGTACGGTGCGTAAATTTTAACTCTGAACATACAAAGCTCCTATGTTCAATTCTTCAATACACCAATCATTGCATTGATATGCAACCCACCTTACACACCAATTTGACAGCAGTGTAAAGCCGGGCTCAGACGACTCGTGTACTTGGCGAATAATCGTTACTTTCGTATACTTGGCATGTCGTGTGAGTGGGTTACTTGTACAATTAATTGTCACTCGTTAGTTTTCCATTTCTTGTCGGTAAAATTGGTCCGAGTCAAAGGGATCACGATTATTCGCACACTTGCCAAGTACATACTTATCTATACTTGTAGAGGCGCTCAAACGGAATGCACAAATAATTTGCCTTTAGTGCGATTATTAATTTAGTTTTCAGTTAAAGACGGAAGCGTACAGACGTTTTTTTTGTTTTTTTTTTCTTTTTTTATTGAAATGGAGTGGACAAATGAGATTGTGTTGGAATTTCTTGTTTTTTATGAAAATGCGCCGGTCATTTGGATGGCTAAACACAAAGACCATAAAAATCGAAATGCAGTTAATGATGCCTGGAAAAGGATACAAGTGTTACAAATGTTCGCCCTCGCGTACTTGTACAATGTACACGTCGTGTGAGTGCCCTGCTTGCCATCGCAACTCGCCAAGCTCGTATACTTCCCAAGTACGTAAATAATTGTGTATTCGCCAAGTACACGAGTCGTCTGAGCCCGGCTTAAACAAAAGAAACTTAGTATTAGCATTGAATATCCAACTCCTCTGGATATTCAATGGTATTAGGCTCGCCAAGAAAGAATGCCAGTTGCAGAACATACAAGCGTATGTTTAATATGAAAAACACACAATCGTAGACCGGGATCAGATATTCTGTGACTGGCATTCTTTCTTGGGGAGCGTTATAGTTATTTTAGATAGGTATGTATTCTGTGGTTGGTGTAGCAGATTCGAGGTAACTGAAACTGTTTTATAGTGTATTTTTCAGTTACAGGAATTTTTTTCATTTTTGTTGTCCCAATTAACGGAATTTGCTTACAAACCAGTTTAGTTTTTGTTACTTCAACAGTCAACTGTTTTAACAATATCCATATAATAATAATGGCTCCAGTACCACGATACAGTCTTGAACTGTTGCTTCCTAGCTGTAACAAAATTTACCATGCAACTTACACAAATATAACGATATGTGGCGAGAATCATAGACAACTGTCACATTGAAATACTATATTACAATTTCTTAGTTAAACAATACATTCAGAAGTACATCGAACATTCACTAAAAACCCAGAACTCACTCTCTCAACTCTATCCTATGTGTAAAAAAAGCAAATGTCAAAAACAGTTATCAAACTATAACAATAAATTATAAATTGAGATCATAATTGACAAATTGTTTTGTATCAAATTTTATATTACATATGCCCATTACGTTTCTATGACAAAATCTTATAAAATTGTAGTTTAAATACTCAAAAAGGTTTCTAATTAACAACTTAATGTTAACAAATTGTATTAATTTTTTTACATTTATTAAACTTTTTACATGGACTTGATAATACTGTTTCCTATTTGAATTTGACAAATACTGCGAAATTGAAAAATTAACATAGTGATGAGACACCACAAAAAAACAACAAAAGAACAACTCAACAAAACAATATCAGACCCACAAAAGTAAACAAAGTCATGGTAAAAAAATATACTATAACTGCAATGTCCAATTGTGTGTCTTCGTATACACTTATTGTGAGTATACCTTTGGGCATCTGCTGTGGAAGACAAGAGCCCTTGTTTTGAGGCGGGAACCAATTATGATAATCTGCTAACGAAAAATACGTGTAAAAAAGTCGCACAATTAAAACAAGGCCCTACCTCAAATAAAGTAAAAAAAAAACAACCAATAGTATAGTTAATAATAGAGATCAATGTTCTTTGCACTAGTTTCTATCATGAATATTATACGCTTCTATAGTCGTTAAATGAATAAATTAAATTTATATTTCGCTGTAGTGACGGACTAATAAAGTTCTCATAAACAGACGTAATATGTTTACAGTCTCTCTTGGTGAAATGAAAGAATATGGCATTTTGTACTCAAATTGAAACCACAACATTCGCGAATACTAGAATATAGTCGGTAAAATGAGTAAGTTCGCATATCGGGTTAGCGCTTATATTCACAGCGCGCATGAGGTTATACATCTTTCCTTATTTAAAACATGACATTTGAGGTAGAGGGCAAGTGCGTATCTAGTTTTACGAACCGCGGGCGGTGAACTAAGAATTACACTGGACGTTACAGACGTTTAAAATAGAGGTTGTTGCAGCAAAAAGAGAAAGCAATAGTTAAGGTATGTTGGTCTCGAAATGGGAAACACCCACTTAAAAGCGTCAAGCCAGTGACACTCAAACGTGTTTTAAGTGGGTGTTGCCCATTTCGAGACCAACATACCTTAACTATTGCTTTCTCTTTTTGCTGCAACAACCTCCATTTTAAACGTCTGTAACGTCCAGTGTAATTCTTAGTTCACCGCCCGCGGTTCGTAAAACTAGATACGCACTTGCCCTCTACCTCAAATGTCATGTTTTAAATAAGGAAAGATGTATAACCTCATGCGCGCTGTGAATATAAGCGCTAATCCGATATGCGAACTTACTCATTTAACTGACTATATTAAAAAATCTGAAATTTTCTTCATTTTAGGAGAGATGGTAAGGTTATGGACTGGACCAGTTACTATTATTGTTGAGTAAATAATACAAAAAAGTATAGCCACCATTTTAACTAATGAAAATTAACTGAATATAAACCTTGTATGTTTCAAGGTATAACAGTTAATAATTAACGGAACATGATAGCAAACTCTTGTTTAAGGCTTAACACAGTATCATATTAAGGAAGGCCCATCAGTCAGGGATGTGTCACGCTTTGAATGCGAGCGATTTATCCTGACTAAATTAGCATACAATTTTAAAGCTCATTTATGACCGTTTGAATAGACAAATTTAAGCGGAGCTTAGCTTAAGCATAGCTTAAAATCCATGGCAACGATTATTGAGATAATGGTTATCATAGATTTTAAGCTACGCTTCGCTTAAATTTATCAGTACAACCTGCCATAAGCCCCGGTTGTACAATGTCAGTTTAAACTTCAGATTAGTTTAACTGACAGATTTCAGAAACACGATTGGTCAACTTGTAAAATATTAGCCAATCAAATCCTTTAACCAACCATTCAACTATAAACTGAAGTTTAAACTGACCGTGTACTGGGCCCAAGGATATCAAATTAGTGTAGAGTGACCCAGCCATCTGACATAACAATAAATTTTTAGGTTTTGTATTGAACTTCAGAAGAAACAAATGACACACTACTATTGGTAATCATCAAGGAAGGGGGAGTGGGGGGAGGTGGAAGAAAGAAGCGACTTCGGCCACCTCTTAAGATGAAACTAAATAAAATTTATTGATAACACGTTTTGCAAGTTGCAACACGAAATTGAATTCAGTCATTTAATTGGCAACCAGTAGAAAGCTCACTACTGAAGTTGATGCAAAAAATTCCTACCTTCATCACGCAACGATTAGATTATCCTCTCTCATATTATATAATTAACATTCAACAGTAAATTCAATTATCACACACTTCATTAGATCAATTAACCGGTATTTGGCATTTTTGTTTAAATCGCTACCTTTTCTAATCGCATGCAAACTTGCAACGCTGAGAACTGAAAACATAAAACGTTTCATGTAACATGAGATCAACTTACGTATCTTTCCTAAGGAATCATAAATATTTAAAAAATTGTACGATATACTGTCTTTTTTACTTCATACAGGATTGTACCAAAACAACCAAGAACATTCAAGATTTTTTAAAAAAGTGTGTGATACTTTTATTCCCAGCAGCCGCTTTAGCACGTGATTTTTCTTTAGACGTCTGTATAGATTGTTTAATAGATTTTATGGTGGGTTTACTTAAGTCTAAAGCGTTGCCGGTAAGTGTTCTTTCCTCCTCTAATTTCGGGTGTTTCGCTTCTGGTTGCGCCAAATTGCCGCAAATTTTCCTTTTTGTATTTGTATTAGTCTCTTCGGTTAAATTTAAGTACTTTAAAAGTTTGTCGCTGAGATCCTCCATAAGATATTCCGATACGATGCCGTGCGCGTGTTTCAAATACGCTTCGGTGTTTACGTTCTCGTCGCGCGACGATGCGACAAACGTGGCAGATGCTGCACCATTTATCACGTGTATCTTTTTTTGTTTTAAAATGTCGGCAACACGTTCGGTTTTCTTTTGAAGCCACAATAGGGTTTTCTCTTCGTTATATTTAAATGCGTTCAATTCTTCATCGCCCTAAAATAAAGAGACATTTAACTACTCCATCGCCATCTATTAAATTATTCAACAAAAGGATGTTTGAAAAGATGGCGTTACTATGTTCCACTCTATGACATATTATAATGAATGAACTGCGCGTGGCAATGATAAGCGCGGATACTGCAGGTGATAGAGAAGGGAAAACCAAGAGGGCAAGTTGTCTCTTACGGTTACGCATCTGATTGGTTTTTCAGTTTAATATGAATGTGATTGCTTCTGTTGAAAGAACCAATAAGATGCGTAACCGTAAGAGACAGCTTGCCCTCTTAGTTTTCTCTTCTCTCTCACCTGCAGTATCCGTGCTTGGCATTGGGACGCGCAGTCCATTTATTATATGTCGATGGTTCCACTGAATCAAAAGCCGATTGTCATTTCAAAACATTCTCTACTATAGTGAAATTCACATCCAGATGGCAGTACCCGTGTATAGGATAACAGTGTTGCCAATCCTACTGTCATTTTAAGTTTTACAAATTAGCTACGGTTAGAGAAATGGTTAAAAACATTTATGACTAACTGCTCGCATTTGATTTGCGGTATCTTTGTAATGCTGCAATCAGAATGTGAGTTTCACATTGCTCAAGTAATAACACAAAATGGCATACCATTGGTAAGACCGTGGACTATGTCACTTACCTACACAGGAGATATTAAATTGACTGTGACAAGAAAATTTGCACTAGCGCAAACCTTAACGGTTCAGCCGCGTGATTTACAATTGGCCTTTATTTTAAATTTAAATTTACCGCTAGAAAGTGGCGCAGGAGGAGTGGGAGTAAAGTAATCTCTTTCTACTTATTATATTATTTCCAATGTTGCAATCCCGATTCAAAAAATTAAAACAATAATGGAGAATATCAAAGCATTACGGTCCCCTAAAATATTTATAAGACTACTTCCTTTTTTTACTCTTCGACAGATATCTACTTGAAAATAATTTTAAAAACAGCTGCAAATTCCTTATGATTTAATTGACACCGAGATTGACACTCACCTTTCTATCTGCTACCATGTTTAAAGATTTTAATCCGGTACATTTTAACAGTCGTTCCATTTGTGGAAATTCATCATCCCTTAGTAACTGATCGAGTGGAATTGCTTGTGTGGTACAATATTTTTTCAGGTATGGAAGCACTGAAACAAAACACATTTGTACACCGCCCATTTATCCCTGTCAAAATCCTATTGTAAAGGTAGGTATCGTTTTTTTAAGATCTTGAGCGGGAAATTCAAAAAACAATGTAACATAAATTTAATTATGTTGTTTATTTATTACAAATAATTGACAATAAATTTAACAGTCCTAAAATTGATTAGTTTATAACAGTAAACATATTATTTATCACTCGCGAATACACAATTTATAACGGCGCGAACTATTTATTGCCGAAACATTGAAAGTAGAACTGGACCGAAACGTGATTCGTTTGCTTATACAGGCTGATTCAAATTCGAGGGCCACCATGGGGATCTCGGAAACTGTAAGAGATATGTAGGTAAACCTCTCGCCAGGAAAGATTGCCGGTCACAGAACACTTGATCCCGATCTACAATCTATGTTTTTCTATAGATGTGAGCGACTTCCGGGATAGTATCGTGTCAATGTTGAACAAAAACACTTTTTGATCAACATTGGCACGATCCTATTCCGGAAGTCGCTCGCATCTTAAGAAAAACATAGATTGTAGATCGACACAAGGTGTGCTGTGTCCGGCAATCTTTCCTGGCGAGAGTTATAGTTTAAATTTGGTAAAGTTGCGTATTTTGATGCTTAACAAAATGCCGTTTTGAAACTGAAAAAATTCGGTCTACTTTCAGAGATATCCAGAGAAAAACCAAATTTTGCAAAATCGTTTTTATTTTTTAGTGTTAGTGTTTAGTATTGCTAATTTTGTAATTTTTTTTCTATCGAATGACATAAAAATTCCAATATAGCGTCCATAAGAAATAAGAAAGTTGATTTTATTTACTCGAAACTCACAAGTGATAAAAGCTGAGAAAAAATTAGCACTGGTTTGTTAAAACTATTTTTTGATCTTTGAAAATAAATGAACGCCGGAGCATTTTCGAAAATGACATTTTTCGGTTTTTTGACCATAACTTTGTTATTTGAAGAGCTACAAGAAACATGAAAGGGAAACTTAATCTACATAAAAGTCTGCAATTCTTTGCCCATTTAAGCAACTTTGTGTCTTACTATTTACGAGATCCCCATACTAAACATCAGAAAAAACTCACCCTGTATTTAACTTGAAATGTTATATACTTTCATTTTTAATGAAAAGGCCGGTTACCACAACTCATACTTTCTGACTATCAAAAAATTGCAAAATGACATTTTTTCAGTGTTATTATCATTGCAAGCTGAGTAAGCAAATGAACAAGCAGGGATTTTGTATCTAATCTGTGATAATAAATAGTAATCAATAAAGTCAATAAAAGTGATAAGTGATTTAAAATGGGAGTTTCATGTCGGAATGTAATGCTTACTGTGATTTTAATATGGAGTGTTACATCGTTTGTGTACATTAAATTTTTTCTATCGCGCCCAGCTACACCTAGTTACGTTTCTCCTACAAAACGGTATATTGAATTGGAAAAAAAAGTGTGTTCCAGTCCTAAATTGAAAGCGAAAAAAAGTTGGGCGAGACAGCAGTGTCCAAAAAATGGCATAGTTACTTCTGCAACTGGAGGACGGCTTGGTAATAAAATGTGGTGTTATATATCTATATGGGCAGTTGCCAGGGCTGCTGGTTTGGATCCCTACGTTCCACGTTGTCTCCGTAGTCCACTGGACCAAATTTTTGATCGTCTTTCAGTGCCATTGATTGAAGAAATCTCGCATTGTCCGTTTGACGAGAAAAATGTTGTGAACAGTTTAGATTCGTGGCAACACATGAATCAGAGTATAGTAATACCGCCAGTTGCATTTCAACAAAAATTATCGGTGAGATGGACGCAGGATATAAGACGCGAATTTAGATTCAAAAAGGAACTGATTAATAAAAGCCAAAATATTTTAAGATTAGCTTCTCAGAAACGCACAAATTGTACTTTTGTGTCGGTACACATTCGAAGAACAGATTATCAAGCGTATCTGAAAAGAAAATATTCCATTCGTCCCGCGAATGCAACTTTTTACTACTCCGCCATGAAATACTTTGAATCAAAATATTCAAGCGTCGTTTTCATCATTTCGAGTGACGATCCTAATTGGTGTTCGAAAACATTTAAAGAGAAAAATAATGTATACATTACAGGGACCAAATCCAGGGTTTCCCCCGCTTTAGATTTAGCCATAATGAGTTCTTGTAATCATTCAATAATTGATTATGGTACATTCGGAGAGTGGGGTGCTATTCTGGCCGGAGGTGAGACAATTTTTTATAATATTGGTCGACCATACAGTACTAATGATTTTGCAAACGATATGAGGGAATGGCGTGGACGTGTTTAAGTTATTGCGGTATCAACTCACGAAGTATGAAGCTACTCACATGTACTCCCATCAGATCTATGTACCTATAATTAAATTTTTTTTCGCCTAGTTGTTTTTTAGTGTTTTTTCCTATCGTATTTAAGGCTGCCGGTTGTTCGCAAATCACAGATTGGTACAGTTACAACCACTATTCATTTCCAATGCAGTTTATTGAGATGTGTTCATTTAATCGATGAAAATCAGTAAGTATTCAATTGTGCTCCATTTGTGAGGCTTTGCACTTTTTTCAATTGTGAAATATTAAAATAATGGAGGGGGGGGGGCAACATTTTGAGTACCTACTCTAAGGCACCAAGCACCTATTTACGTTTTCAAAATTCTACAAAAAGTAGTGGCAAGATAGCAAGAAGAAGTTAACTGTCGGTCATTCGACCTTCTTCTATAAATCCAGCGAGATATCAGCAACTGAACATCATAGAGTCTTCTGATTTCCGTCATCAGATTCATATTATTGAGTTATTCCGCCATCACTGGATTTAAAAGCTACCAAACGCGTGTGTTGTGACCAAATGAAAGTCAAAATCAATATGTACGCATCAAATTCGTTGGGAAGACGTCCAAAGACATTATCTCAATCCCCTAAAAGTGAATTTTATACAATTAAAAACCTACAATAGACATATACCCCCACAAACAAAAGATGATATCAAACAATGGCTAAACCATTTGTAGAATAGAAAGGTGAACGAAAATGACATAAGAGAAAACCTGACTTACATTATTGAAAAGCCTATAAAAATACTATCCAATGGTATAAATTTCAATTGGACAGGGTATATCAGTAATTACCAAATGTTTCTTATATAGTATATACCAGGGTAGAGAAGTGTAGTATTATTGCCCGAGCACCAAGATTGCATCCCGAGGCGCTTGCGCAGTACTTGAAGTCCTCTAAATTAACGTATTAAATTGTTAAGAAAGTAAACGGTTGGAGAGAATTTTTTGTTTATTAGTTTAAACGTGTCAATAAAGTGTGCGGAAGCGTAAGTCAAGAATGACGTATGGTGGCAATTGAGCATTTATTGAGCAAAATGTAGGGTTGTGATTTCTAAAAGTGACAGCGTGCCAGTTCTCATTTTTTTTTTTTTTTTTTTCTAAAGTTCTACGGCATCAACTGCATGGTTATTAGCCGTTAGTGTTTATAGTTTTACGACAATTTTAGTTTCCTTAATGAATGCAATCAATTTTCGAATACTATCTTCATCATTTCCTAAACATTCCTTTAAATTCTTTGAGATCTTATGCTTTATTCTTAAGTTTTCATTTATTCTACATGTAAGTAACATATGACTTACATTTAGTGGCTCATTACATTCCACGCACAACGGAGGAGGGGCTCCTAAAAGTAAATGACTTGATGTTATATTAGTATGTCCTAGTCGTAGTCTCGTGAGAGCAACTTGTTCACGGCGTGATAGTTCACGAGGTATTATCCACGTATTTACACCCACTTTGATTTGACTGAAAAATGATTCATCTGCGAACCATTGTGTCATCCAGAATTGTCTAATTCTTGATAATACCTCCATTTTAACATCATCTGCACGCACCCTTGGCCAGTCTATTTCTTTGGAGAGAGTTGCTTCTCTAGCTGCGCTATCTGCCAATTCATTACCTCTTATTCCACAATGGCTAGGACACCACAAAAATTTGACAATTTTACGGCGTCTTTGTAAAGAATCTAGGCAGGATAACATCGTTCTCACAAGAGCATCTTTGCTAAATGTATTCGTTATGCTTTTCAAGGAACTAAGGGAGTCTGAACAAATCAAAAATCTTTTTTCTGTCGACATGGTAGAATAGTATAACGCTTGCATAATCGCATACAGTTCTGCTGTATACACACTTGTATATTTTGGAAGTGACCAATTATATGTCTTGTCTGTAACACTAAATGCACTTCCCACTCCCTCTTCCGTCTTCGAACCATCTGTGTATATTATAATATAATCACGGTATTGATCTAATACTGATAGAAATTCCTGTTTAAGATATTGTTTATTAGTGTCCTTTTTTGTGTCAAACCACTTATAATTTACTTGCGGTTTACTAATTACCCAAGGTGGAATTTCGGACACTTTATTTTGATATGTTTCTATTGGTAATTCAAGCAAATTTAGATTCCTGGACCTTTCTAGAAGTCGTATGCCAGTTGGGCGCATTATAGTACTTCGACTGTCATAGATTGGATATGTATCATTATTAAAAAGTACGTTATAGTTAGGATGACTTCGCAAAGCATTTATTCTTATACCATATTTAAGCAAGTTAATGTCAAATAATATTTTCATAGGTGGAATTCCCGATTCGCAACATACATCTTCTAGGCGGCTAGTGCGAAAAGCACCAGTACATAGCCGTAGACCTTCGCAATGAATACGATTAACCTTTTGAATTCTAGTTGCTCTGGTTCCCGATATAATAACACTGGAATAATCAATCTTTGAAAGTATCAGGGCTTTATGTAATCTTAGTAAAACTTCTCTATCCGCACCCCACGACAAATGGCTAACACAGCGAAGAATATTAAGTGCTTTTTTACATTTAACAGATAAATTCTCAATTTGCCCTTTCCAATATAACTTAGAGTCAAATATAACTCCAAGAAATTTGATGTTATCCTTAACTTCTATCGTATGTCCATCTAATGTGAATTTTAGATGTTCATGGAAACTTCTCAATCGGCAAAAATGAACTACATGGGTTTTCGTGGGAGAGAAGCGAAAACCAATCTTTTTCGCATTATTCGATATTTTATCTATTTCATTCTGCAGGACATCATTAATGTTTGAATCTATGGCGCCTGATGAGTAGATCAGAAGATCGTCTACATATAAACTTTTCCCAACAGTTGGACTGATAGAAGTCAATAAATCATCAATTGCGATTGAAAACAACGTTACACTCAGTGCAGAACCTTGAGGCACTCTGGTGAGTTGCACCCGTTCGGAGGAATAAATATTACCGATACGTACTGCGAATTTCCTATCATTTAAAAAACTTTGTATAAATATTGGTAAGTTTCCTCGAATTTGTAACGAATGCAACTTTTTTAGTATTCCGTATCTCCATGTATCGTCAAAAGCTTTTTGAATATCGAAAAATATTGCATATAGGTGTTCTCTTTTAGCAAAACTATTTAATATTGCTGTTTCCAATTGTACAAGTGCGTCAGTTGTAGATCGTGTTCTTCTAGATCCTACTTGGAAATTTGATATAAATTCGTATCTCTCTAACAACCATGTTAGTCGCAAATTTGCCATCCTTTCTAACAATTTACTTAAGCATGATATAAGTGATATGATTACTAGTTATTAATGATCACATTATTAACCACTTTGAACCATTGAAATATAAGGAAGGAGCTTATGTATTATTAGCTAGGATCCCTATTAGGTTTCTCAACATGGCGGACGTTCATACGCGCAGTGGCGTGCATACATGTAATATATTTAATTTTTTGGCAGGTAGTACCGAAATTGCATACATTTGACTACAGACAAATTCATAACTTCCTATAAACAAAATCTATGTATCTCGCCATTCACTGTCTAAAGGAAATCTGAAAAGTAGACGTATTTCAAAATGTTGCTCTACATACTATCGCTTCGGCAATGGATCACAACCTGCAAAATGAATGAAATTAAGTAATCGTGAAAAACGACCATTTTAAGAAATATATACATGGTTACCACCAATGAAATGTAATTTTCGTTTCTTCTGTACCTTTTGACTTTGTTATATATTACATGATTTACAGCTAACCATTATGTTTCACTTGACTGTAAATGTCAATTTATTGTCAAAGTCGACCATATTGAGAAGCCTAATTGGATCCCAACAAGCGTACATTATATGTATTTTGCGATTTTGCAAAATTTCGGTGTATTCCGGATATCTCCGAAAGTAGTCGGAATTTTTTAAGTTTCAAAACTGCATTTTGTTAACCATCAAAATACGCAACTTTGCCAAATTTAAACTACCTATCTATCTCTTACAGTTCCCGAAATCCCCCTGGTGGCCCTCGAATTTGAATCAGCCTGTATAATAATAATATTTTTTATTGCCTTTAAATGCACTAGTGGATACTGCATAGTGTATGCAGCAAACAAATAATGCATACTATTAAAACATGCACCACCTATTACCTACATACAATAGTCACGATCAAATATAATATAACAGTTGTTGCACTGTCAACAAGTATATAATTGTCCTTGAGTACTTAAATAATTCATTTCTATTATATGTGTTTTGTGATTGCACTTGTTCAACATGTTTGCCTCGATGTTTGCCACATACAGTAAAATAAAACCTAAATATTTGTAATAAAAGGTAAGATGGATTTTGTCATGTTTAGGGGGCGTTCCTGTATAGTGGAGTGTGGCGTTGATTTACTATTTTTTCAACACCCTGTATAATGCAAGGACTGATGAGAATTAAAGAAAAATCTTATTTTAGCTTCTCTTGCTCCACACGCAAAAAGGCTGCATAATTTACACAAAAAAATACTTTAGCACAGACAAACTTTACAAAGTGCAGAAATAAATGTTGGTACCTACCCTCGTACCTACCTTACCAAAAAGTGGTACATTCGAAGTGATCAGCAGGTACCAACCTGTTACCTTAAGGTGGTCACTCACTACGTGACACTTGACAAGTCCTTGTATTTGTGTAAGTACATGTACAAGCTCATGTATGGCCTACACACCACGCGGTCTCGATACTTGCCAAGCACTTGTCAACTATCATGTAGGTAGTGAGTAGCCGGCTTTAGACAAGAGAGACCATGCCTGTTTCACGAGCTGTTTCACTAAATCTTTACTGAATAAAATTTGTAACTATTCTATTACATTCGCAGGGGAGTCCGACCGGGCAGCACCTAGGGCAGCACTTAGGCACACCAGAGACCCAATGTAGCTACTTATTACTTATACTGCACCAACAAGAAAATTAATAATAAACTCTCACCTAAAAATATTGGATCTATGGGTGTAGACAAATGCATTTTCCCATCACTTTTCACAGACTCTTCAATAAGCCACGAACGCTTGCCCTCGGCGAACGTCAAAATCTCCTGTACCGAATTATTCGCAGAGGAAAATAAAAAGACACCAGCTTCACCGGTACTGGGATGCCGCAGGTTAACAATATCAGGTGTGCCGGTTCCGGTGTACTGCTCCGAATGCTCGAGCGCCTCTCCTTCAAATGAAAATGTGATTAATCGAATTTGTTGCGAGTACGGGTGTTACCTTTGAGAACGAAAACCCAAGTGTTTGGCGGCTGTTGTAGGTTGGATTTGATGCATTTTTTCGGTTCGGCTTTTACGCGAGGCATTTTGAATACTAATTTTTTTAATTGCTTACAATTAACGATCACCACAAATTATTGTTTGGTAGTAAATACTATGGAATTACACTCGATTACACTGCGACGTTTAACAAGAATTACATATTTGCGCTCAATCGATTTTTGAACAATTCATTCAATGGAAATGCGATTTTTGTGCTAATAAAAACACAAAAAATTACAATGGGAATATAATAAACAAATCCTACTTTAGTGATAACCCCAATTTTCAGTGGGAAAATTCCACTGTTGGCAACCCGTACAGCGCGGCAATTTTAAATTTCCGTCATATATTATATAAAGCGGCATTACCTGCTAATTACGAAACAAGCGTGCTTATTCGTGCGCGGCCTGTACGTAGGTACATATTTTATATTCCATGTACATAAAATAAAACAATTTAAGTTACCTAATCTAGTTCCAATGTCGTTGTGTTGAAATTTTTTGCGCACTCATGTACAATGTTTTCAAATCCCCCTGTGTATAGTGTAATGTCATAAACTCGCTTTCTAACCTCAACCTTGACGTTCTTGCTGTTTTGTGACCTTTAACCTAATAGAAAATTAATTATCTTCATATATATTTAGTAAATTTAATGGATAATAAAAAAGCACATTTACCTGGAGATGGAATAAGATCGCTTCCAACCTCAAGATTATTCAAAATTACTAATTATGAACTATACGCGAGACCTGTATGTTGGTTCAAATTGTTGCAATGACTTAATACCTTTTTTGCAGAATGTAGTCATAATGGCACTGGGTTTAGTAGCACTAGCTGGATGTACAGGATACATAGCGTACATGCGTCACAAATATGAGGAATTAGGATATTACAGTGCAATTAAGGAAGACGGCACGGAAACATTTGTAAAGCGTACCTCTAAATGGGATTAATAGTCGAATTTAATTTGTAAATAGTATTTTAATATAAGTTAGTAAAACCAGTTATTGCTTTAGTTGTGGTATTAATAATTCACAGTTGCTGAACTGTAATATTGTTGTAGCACGTGATCTGAAACAGAAAGGACATCCAGTGTACAATGTGTTAAAATTAAAAATTGTGCCAACTTAGTTTCTGGAAGCTAACAAATTTGTTAATTGGCAAACATGAAGCAATTTTTCCTCAGAATTCCAATGATCAAATTACAAAAACAAATAGAGACATTCAACAAAACATTTTTTATGTTGTAACCTGATGCACACATGTTGTTTCTTTGTCCAGTGAAAAACTTAAAAATTAGTTAGCAAGAGTCCATATTTAGTTGGAATACAAATTGCACATTAAAGGAACATTATTGGGATTTCTGCAAATCATTAAACCACAAGTAAATCTTATTGCTGACATTAAACATTGTATTAAAAAAAATTACAAAAATTGTTCGAAACAACTACAAAAACTAAACAATACCAAATGTTATTATGTACAAATACCTGCAACTTCAGAAAACATGACAAAGGAATAGCTTTTGTAAAAAAACCTAAAGTTAGAATTACATATAATATTCTATGTAACAGGCGTCTTAAAACGTTCCAATCGCTGTTGAGCTTTCCCATTTTGCGATGCTGCATTGGAAGTCGTAACGATACCAAACCGCTCTTTTCGTTTTTTCAGACGTTCTTGTTGCTCTACAGAAGATAAAGCTTTCGATACTGATCCTCCAAACCGCTCCGCTCTTCTCTTTAATGTTTCCAAATTGGCCTGTAATCAGTGCAGTTCAGTCTTGTAAACGAGCATAATTCCATGTATGGTTTAATTAAATTACAAAACAATGTGTAAATATTGGAGGAATTCCATTAATAATTGAGTTTTTTCACTACTAGCGTCTGATGACATGATTATTAACCTTTTTTCCACTTGTAAAGTAGGCTTTCTCGGCATTTGTTCAAAGTGGTTAATAATTTTTTATTATTAACTAGTAGTCAATAATGAGAACTGTCACGCTGTCACTTTTAGAAAACACAACCAGAAATTTCGCTCAATGAACGTTTAGACAAGTTCTCTAAAACGAATAATTGCCACCATTCGCAATTTCCAGGGAAATTACATACCTAAAATTATCACATTTTGAAAAAATTCGAACGAAATTACTCTTTGAAAAATCTCAATGACAGAACAAAATACGGCCTGTTTGACTTGTACTTCCACGTACTTGATTGACATGCTAAATTAAGAAACAAACAATTCTGTCCAACCGTTAACTCTCTTATCAATATAATATGTTAATTTAGAGGATTTCAAGTGCTAGTAGTGAAAAAAATAGTATATATACCACGGTAGAGAAGTCTATTATTGCCTTCGCACCTTACACCCCTCGGCGCAAGCGCCTCGAGATGTAATCTTGGTGCTCAGGCAATAATAGTGGACTTCTCTACCTTGATATATAATGTACTATTGTAATTAAGTTACAGAAAATTACAAAACTCTTATAAATAAAACATTCAGTCTGTCCTTACAGGGGTACATTTATTTGTACCTAGGTACATACTAACCTCTAACACAGGACTACTTTCCACTGAAATTGTTCCAGAGAATCGCTCTGCTCTTGCCACTTTCTTAGCTTCTGCAGACGTAGGAGTACCAAACTTCTTCGCTCGCATCTCCAACCTCTACAATGCACAGTATTGTCCACAATGTAAAATTAATAAACAATTCTTACCTCTTTTGCACTTAATTCTGATAATTTAACAACTTTCCCGTCTTCATCAGACTTTGCAGAATATTCATTTACAGCACTATCCAGAAGTGGGTCAGTACCGTTCGTTTTTTCTGAATTGCTTTGTGCCGAACTAGAACGATTCAAAACGATCTTCTTTGCCAATTTAGAATCTAAATCGGGCATATCAGTTTTAGAAAGTTTACGTTTCATTACGGAACTCGATTCTTGAGCTTCTTCTAAATGATCTAGCTCGTTCAAAACCGATTCAGATGTGTCTAAATGATCATGATCCAACTCGTCGTCATTTAGCAGATCGTCGTCGAGATCATCAACGGATTCTGCGCCCCCATTGTCACTTGATTTGAGTGCATTTTGTAACCTTTCTATTAGATCAATTTTGTTACCCGTGGTGCTGAGGCCTCTTAATTTGAGTTCCTTTTTTAAATCGGGTACCTATAAATATTGAGTTTATTCATTAAGTATGTGTGCAGAAGGGCCACTACCGCTCTTCATACTAGCTTGTTTAAGCAAATAGGTTTCAAAATATTTACCTTTAGTTTTGAGATATCCATTTCAGTTATAAGGAAATCATCTGCCATGGTGTAAACGACTACAGACAAAAACTTCTGGTTTAATTATTTTATTCCACAGGGCTTTATTTGGAACTTTCTACGACAAATTTCAATCAAACGCACTCAATTTTCCCTAAAAGTACACTTTTCCGTCGAATGAAAATTTTGAGTTTTGACATCAAGAAGCAGCAACGTCGTTTGGAGTCGTAGGTTTGGAGCTTGTTTGGAGGAGGACGCCGACGCGGGTGGTCACCGTACCAATCTACTTATAGAATCCGACGTGACTCCGTAAAAATGCGCATGCGTAAGGTAAGTTCATAGCTCTCCGTTCATACGTTTCCGTTTGTCCGTTAGCCAATTAGATGACAGCAAATTTTGAGAAGTGGTAGCGGTAACTCTAAAATTCTGTGTAATATTTCAACATTTGGTACTTTCGTCAGTCCTCAGTCATACGTGGGTACCCAGATGAGTCACACAGCAATATAGACACTGTTTTGGAGGGATTCCAACTTTTCACTGCTTTGTCTGCATTCGTTTTAACATATTAACACTTATTATTTAGTGAAATAAACAGGTTAGCGCCCAATTATCCACATTCACTTAGAATTGAAACCAAAATTGGACTTGTACCCTCGCTGGCACATTAACACATATCGAAAAAAATCCTGTGGCTAGGACAGATACCACCCTCACACTGCACTGCCCAAAAGCTCTTTCTTTTATGTTTAAGAATATGTGTACCAATTTTGGTTCCAATCGGTTCAGCCTTTTAGCCGGAAATGAGAATATACAGATATGCCGACATTGAGATTTTGTTTGAATCAGATTCCTGATGCTTCAAAACGTGTATTTCTGTCAGAAAAATGGGGGAGGGGGGGTCATTTTTTACCCCAATGCAATCCCTTCCTTATTAACGTGAAGGTGGTAAAAAAACTCTTTACAATACATTATTTGCTAGTGACTTGTTTCGTACCTCCAAATTAAAACTCATCAAACAGAACCTTGGGAAATCACTTCCCCAGCTTTGCACGTATATTGAAATTTTTCAAGGCCAAGGATGCTCCATCAACCCAACCCACTATATTACAAATATCCATGCCCAAACCCTGGTTCAAACCAGGGACCCTTGCTAGCACCGTGGAACTGCGCCACATGGGCCAGCAATTTCTGTACAAATTCGAACACAACAACTGTATGTACAGGTAGTTTTATGATGTTGATAAATACTATACATTTAACCTTTTATGACATTGAAATATAGATCAAAACTCATGACCATATTTAAGTTGTGTGGAACACAGCAGAGGTTTCTACTGCCTGTAACGTCATCTCATCTAATCGAGTGCACCAATCTCAGAGTAAGAAGTAAAGACTTACTCTGAGGCACCAATAACCAACTGTACACGTACTAAGCAAACGAATAGGTTAAGTGACGTCACACGTTGATATGAATTATTTTTCTTTAGTCTTTTTTTTGGTGGTATTTTCAAGATTCAAATAATTTTTCGCATTTTTGTTTCATTTTACTTAAATTTTCATAATTAACTTATAACAAAAAATTTGCTGTGGTTAGCACCACATGCGCGTTCTGCCCAAATAAGGCTTTTCAGTTCTTGCTTTTATGTCTAGAATATGTGTACCAAATTTGATTCCAATCGGTTCAGCCATTTAGCCAAAAATGAGAGCACAGACCGATCGACAACATCGAGATTTTGTTTAATTCGGATTTCTGTTTCTTCCATTAAAAGATGAGCGGTCATTTTTTACCCATGCAAACCCCCCTTACTAACGGGCGGGTGGTTTTAAAAACTGGAAACTTCATTCTGCAGCATTGCCAATTTTACAAAAAAACTTGTTATTAAAGACTGCAATGGGCAAGTACATCCTTAGATCATACTGATCTAAGAGTACAACACTATTTACATTTTCAATTTTTCACTTGCATTTTAACCTACAAAATTGTCCAAGTTAGATTAGATGTCACCGCTTTATTGCAAACTGTTATTGTTAATTATAGGCTTCATTATAGTATTCATCACTACATAATTCGTCTATGTCCTGTTTCCGTTAACAATGCTTCCAATTTTACATTTGTTTCTACATTTACTTTTTGTTGATGTGCCCAACACACAGCATAAAACATTACCTCATTTTTGTTCTTCGCATGTGCGATATTTTCCAACACAAACTTCTTAACCTAATAAAGGATTTCTTCTAGTTCAGGCTGTATTTTCACAAATTATATACCTACTTTCAATTCTCCTTTGTACGCAGACGTGATTGCCTCTACAAAATCTGCCAATTGTTCATTACGCATGGAAATAAATAATGTAGTTGTTTTTTTATGAAGCTTAACCAAGGACTTCATTTGGCTGCATAGAAAATCAAAGGCCTCGGAGATGCCTGACAACTTTTCTACCACATCAAATAAATCGCTCGTTAAATTCTCCAAGTTCTTTGAATAGTCGGCAATGTTATTTGTTTTTAAATGAGCAATGCTTTTTGTAATGTTTGCTCCTCTTATATGATTATCATTCCATCGTTGAATATTATTGTATAAGTCTGCAACGATATCCCTTGCAACTCGAGGTAATCCAGTCAGATTTTTGTGTGATGATATCCCTGCAGGGCTTTGTGGCACTGTAAATTTGAAAATTAACAATTTAAATTCCTTTTTACTGGTTTTCTTACAGGTGATAGGTGAAAAATGTTTCTCTACATTTCGAGATTTATTGGGTGACGTTGACATTTTTATTAAATCCAAAATTTTGTTGACAAACGGCAAGTGAAACAATCTAAAACTATGCTAAAACTAAACGTTGCTCCCATCATAGGTGCTTTAAGTTAGCATTAGCAATTGTATACCGTGGCATTGTTTAAATAGCAGAGCAAGAAGTCTTGACCGTCAAACAGTTTTAAATTGAAAATAAGCTCCATACTCCCACATACGACCAACGGATGCAAAACAGAACAAAATTTTAAATTTTACACTGTTCTGTGGGATGCAAAGCAGGATGCTCCTGATGGGAGTCACACAAAGATTTAACTTTGAAGTGCAACTTTCCTTTTGACAGTTATACGGCACGTGTTGATATTTACCAGACTTGCAGATATTTACATTGCGAATTTTTCCTCAAAAAAAATGGGAAAAATACGTAAAATTCACTCGTCAAGGGTAGGGATAAAAATCCCTTTAGAAGATGAAATTAACAACAGTAAATTCGTGAAACCCAAAGGCCGAACTAAAACTAGATTGAAAAAGGAGGAAGATGAGGAGGTTAACCTTCAATACCTTTACACCAGGACTTCTTTAATTCCATTTATAATTGTAGTATGTGGACTCCAATTTGTCCTCGAAAATATTGTCGGCCGCTCGAAGACAATTACAAGAGTTAGACGATGATTATCCGACTCTGGAAGAAGCGAACCCACGGAGACGACCCGTTACTTTAGGAGAACCAAGCGGCAGTGTCGATGACGAGGATGATGATGACGATGACGAAGAGGAAGATTTGGAAACTGACACATTTTATGATAACATTGAAATAAAAGAAGAGGATGAGGAAGCAATGGAAATGTTTATGAATAAAAATCCGGCACCTCGACGGACACTGGCCGACATAATTATGGAAAAGATTCAAGAGAAAGAAGCGGAATTACAATCTAAAATGACTGACGTCAATTCTATAGAAATACAAGACATCGACCCACGAGTAAAGCAGATGTACGAGGGCGTACGGCAGGTGCTTCACAAGTACAGAAGTGGTAAATTACCAAAGGTGTTTAAAATCGTACCTAAATTACGGAACTGGGAGCAAATCCTGTTTATTTTAGGTAGGATTATCTACTGTTACTTGTGTGTGCGAAGTTAGCACATATCATTATCAAAAATTGGGGAATTTCTAAATAGTTTGCAGTCATAATAGTTCTACAGATATAAACATTCAGTGAGTCCCGCTTATTTACTTGAGACGGTTCAAGAAATGAAGTGCCAATGTCACAGAGGGCAGATCCCCATGATTAAAAAAATGTCTAAAAATTTAACTTGTCAAAAATCCAAATCGAATGCATTCACACTATAGTCCATCTCACCATGACCTTACAGTGCACGTTCTTATGATCTACAACGATGCCAAATGTTATCAGAATATGATTTGTAATCTACAAAATTAGCTAAAAACTCCTTTGAGGATTGTATTGCCCTATGTTTCCTGTACTTTAAAGTCAAGGTGCAACTGACTATAGGTTTCTAGTTCTACATGCATCTTACTCGGAACTCAATTGTTTTTCCTCATACATTTTAAAAGTACAAGATTTCCCTAAACAAGGAAAAAACTTCACTCTAAGGTGTGTAACTTTAGTGTATTTTCCATGCATTGCTCAGTACTTCCAAAAAGGCCATAGTTATGTGCGTTTGAAGTATCTATTGTTAAAATTACAAAGAAATGTTTCCATTAATAAAAAGTTGGCATTACGCAATCTGCGCATGCGCACATCTGATTTTTACTATGTGCGTTGCCTGCCTTCACTAGAAACTGTGGTTCACATTTCAACAAAATAGATTCATAAATAAGAAAGTTGATATTGCGCATGCGCACATTATAGATTTTTCTTAACTCAGGTGCCAGAGCTAGGTATACGGTACCGAATTCAAAAAGAACGAACTAAATATATATAAAACTGTAGAAGTAGTTAAGGCCTCGGACGGACAGAGAAAGTGGCTGGTATTTACTTAATATTCATGTAATATTGACATGCGCGCAACATCTATAATTCTCAAATTTGCTGTTTCAAAACTGTACATGATGCGAGTGTTATTGATGTAGTAGTACATCCTTGATCAATACAATTTCAAAAGTGTTACTGTATATTTCCTCTAGGACTATTACCTGTACACTATTAAGAAATTCACAGATACCTATTACTGGCAGGTGATATTTTTATTTTTAGATCCTCCAAAGTGGTCCGCCGCAGCCATGTATCAAGCAACGAGAATATTTGCATCAAATTTGAAAGAAAAGATGGCTCAAAGGTTTTACAATTTAGTGTTACTTCCTAGAGTAAGGGACGATATGGCCGAATATAAGCGTTTAAACTTTCACCTTTATCAAGCATTACGAAAGGCTCTGTACAAACCTGGAAGTTTTATGAAAGGTTTTCTCTTGCCCCTACTAGAAAGTGGTACCTGCACGTTACGCGAAGCGATCATAATCGGATCTGTAATTTCACAAAACTCCATACCCATGCTGCATTCGTCAGCCACACTTTTGAAAATTGCGGAAATGGATTACACCAGTGCCAACTCAATATTTTTGCGGATTTTCATTGATAAAAAGTATGCCTTACCGTATCGTGTTGTTGACGCACTCGTTTTCCATTTCCTTAGGTAATTTGAATTTAAACTAATGTCACAAAGATTAATGGATACTTCTAGATTTCAAAACGATCACCGCGAGTTACCCGTGCTGTGGCATCAAGCTTTTCTCACATTCGTGCAACGTTACAAAGCAGATATATCTACAGAACAAAAGGAGGCATTATTGGAACTTTTGCGCACACAAAGTCATCCACAGATTACATCAGAAATTCGTAGAGAATTACAAAGTGCTAAATGTAGAGATGCAGAAGTTCAAGAGATGGAAACAAGTTCGTTTTAATTATGATGCTATTCTAATTTTGTTGTGTGAAAATAAATTGTTCACAGTCTATTTAATTTCGACATTTTGGTGAATATTCTTTTGCCTTTATTGTTGTTACGTAAACAACGTGAGCTTTTTATGTCGAAATATACCGGGCCAAGCTGCATATGTGAATGTTTTAATTTAAATCTGTAGGATTACATTACGAATTCATCAGAATTTGGTATTTCAATGTCTATTTTTTCTGAATTGTAAGATGTGAAAATTGCGTTGTTTAAAATTAAGGAACATCTGGTCGAATGCATTTAAGTGCTATGTGGTCGTGTGAGAAGGACTTTGTTATCGCGTAATTTAATTGATTTCAAGGCGCACGTGTGTTTGACGCTGATAACAAACGATACAGGTGCATAATTTCTTTTGCGCAATTTTGTTATGGAAGAGGGGCATCTCGAGCGCCCCTTATTGGCGTTGCATTTAAAATTTACGGAAGTAGGAGTATGATGGTTTAACAAAAGTTGGAGTGTATATACAACCTCTGACGATGCACACATTTTTGAGAGCTGGCAACCACGCAATTTTTGTAGTACGTGGGTACGCCAAAAAAACTGCACTTTTTGATTGGAATATGCCACTTTCTGTGGTAATAGTTAATACCAAAAGGCAACTTTTGAGATAGATATTAAAATTCAATTATTTGAAAAACGAGTTTTATTGTATCAATTTGTATCGACAAATAATTCACTACGTCAAGAAAATAGTGGTTGCTATTTAAAAACAGTATGCCCCCTTTGACCGTGCAGAAGTACCTATGCTACTGACCCCAAATTGAATGTACGTGGATTGGTAGCAAACTTTTTATGGGCTCATCCCGCCTTCATTTTTTATTTCTGATCCACAAACTACATTAAAAATAAAAAGACCCGTGTGTTCTCAATTTTTATTTGCGAGTAAAATAACCCCAAAATAAATTATTGAAAAGCTGTGTTTTTAGTCCGAATTTGAAATACGTCACAAACCTACAACCAATCACGTAGAAGTGAGCTGGCAACCTTACGCGAGGGTCTGACGTTTGCCACATTTGACGTTTTGAGAGGGATGTTTAACTGCATCTAGCACGAAAGTGACAGATGACGCAAGTTATAAATGCCATTCTCCTGCATTATTGCCAAGTCGTTATGTCATCTGAATGGTTCTAGGAGCTGATTGGTCGGGCTTATTACGTCACAGAGCCCGCCACAATCATATCGTTTTGAATAAACCTTTAAAACCGCACATGTTCATTATTTTTTTGCTAATCAGCCTCTATTTTTAAATAAACTTTTACTGTCCAAAAAAATGTTTTATGGTTTCAGGTACACGCTTATTAAATTAGAACTGCGGAATTCAACTATACTGTAAACCCCCATTATGATGTCATAAAAAGCTTATTTAAAAAATGTTTTAAAGATAAAGTTTCACCTTGTATAAAAAGCATATCCGGAAAACGGTTAGCCTCGCGGTTAGCATTACGAAAAAAAACAGATAAGACCTACAAAAATAATATACCCGGGGATACCTATAAAAAATATCAAAATGTATAGGCTGCCCTCGAGAACACCCTATATACCTAAAAATACGTTTTAGGCTTCCCCTCAGGCTTCTCATACCAACAAACCGTTACCATTAATCCCAACCGTTGAGGCTCTATCGTCCGCTTACAGAAGGTGGATTCCCTGTCTAATAAAAATGATTCAACTTATATGAATAGGTATCTAAAACTTGGAAATCATAATATTCCTTTAATATTCTTAAAGAAAACCCACGAAAAAACCCATGATCTGATAAATAAGCACTCCAAATTTCACATTCGTCGTAGCTTAAACCAACTAATTAAATAAAATAGGATAAGTAAGTGCAAGAGCGAGAGTAAGAGAAAAAAAACATGGCGGATTGAAATTTTCCGAACTTGCAGGGTAGATACAAAGAATTTTGGGGTTGTATCGATTGTATTTCTAAACGATGGCCTTTTTTTGTTGAAAAGACCGGGAGATTGCACAATTAAGAGCTTACTTGTGATTCAAATTCGTAAAAAAAAACATTTTTTTTTTAAATTGTGATAAATCCTTAAGTTTTAGAGATAAATGTTATATAGCAAAAAAGTTTCCTCGTCACAAGAGCTTTCAATAGAAAAAAAAGAAAATTAAAATCGGATTATTAAGAGCAGAGATACAAAAAAATATATTGCGGCTACTGGCGCCATCTTGACGGCCACCATTTTGGTTTCCTGCACGGATTTTCGAGTGGCTCCCTATCTCAAAAGTTGCCTTTTGGTATTAACTATTACCACAGAAAGTGGCATATTCCAATCAAAAAGTGCAGTATTTTCCCCATTCTAGCCATGTACCCGACGTACTATTAGGACTGCGCCAACTGGAGAACTTGTGGTTAATGGCGGTCACCAAAGCATCATGCAGTATAAGTTGTTATTTTGTGTCATTTAAATGCAGTAATCTTTGCATTTCTTGATAATGTATTTGTTTTCTTTGCAGCATTTTATATTTTTTGTGAGATTTCAATCTTTGAAGTTGACTTGATTTAACCTTAATGCAGATTCATGTGTTTGAAATCGCGTTCGTGGAAAAACTGACCAAGAATTGTTTTTTTACGGTTATCAAATGTTTGCCATTTTTTAAGAGCTATTAACGTTTTGATTTGGTGTATAACTTATTTTCTCACTCTCGTTCAGTGGATTTCGAGCTAACCCCCCTATTACCGGTTGTAGTAGTTGAGACTTGAGATGTTACGGAGGTTCGATTCCGATTTCGAAAATGCAGAACCGTATATTATGTCTATTACTCTTTCACTTGTTGTTTTGTTCATTAAATATTATTTGCTTCTTTTGGAGTCACATTTGATTTAATTATTATTACTACTGACATTTGACATCTCTCTTTTGACTCCAATTTGGGTTCCGATAAACCAAATTAAAAAGCTTCCCTTCCGAATTCGGTTCCGATATAACCACTTCCGTAACATCCCTAGTTGCAACATGCTGCATACCATTATTCACACCAAATCACATACGTTGCTGTACCCTTTGATAAGTACCAGAAAAATATGACGGGTCTGTAATCACCCATCCTCCAGATTGGAAAGTTTCAACACATGGATGTTTATCTGAAATATTCATATCAAATATGTAAGACTTGCATATTTCATTGTAGGTATTAAAAAATACTCGGTCTGTGTTAGAAAATAATGTAGTAGATATTTATACATACAAAATTTTCTTAGTCTCACAATTATAACAATGTAATTATAATTCTTTAACTAATATTACACTTACAATGGCAAATTTGTGTTTAGGCGATAGAAGTAATTCTTGAGAATTTCCTTATAGTTAATTTCCGCGGGATATCAAAAACCAAAAATAAATAGACACACAAATATTTGTACCTTGTAAGTTCACGTGGATTAAAACTGTAAAAAAGCTCTTATTCGGAAATAAAAAACTTAAATGAAAAATCGTTTAGTTGTCATTAATACTCGATTTTATAACATTTGCATAAAAAATATGTCGACGAACATGAAAATCAAAATTTAAAAAAACTAAAAATAAAAACAAACAAAAACGCGAATTTTTGGAAATAACAACCATTCGGTAGTATTAATAACAATAAATATATATGTATAAATAAAATGAAAATAAAATGTACGCTTTTTGTAAATAAACAGTCGAATTCCATATGCCAAATTACTTAATTTGAGTATGGGAAGAACAATGACTACAATTATAATTATTATAGATTACTAGTTACAAATTCAATTACTTACAGTTTATAGAAATAATTATCAATGTGATAAAATTTATAACCTACAACCGTATGTGCAGGTGCAGCGATACACTGCCTTACCAATAAACATCACTAGTAGCTTTATCTATATCTGTAAATGCTTCTTTAAACTACAAACAAAACTTCTCCATTTAAAAGAGCAACCGACATTCATTCATTATAACACAATATTTATTCCCTTTTTTGTTTGTACGCATAATTTATCACGTTTACTTTTGTGGCACAATATAACATTTGGTGTGTTTTATAAATTGATTACGACTCACACTACAGACACGCATGATTTATGAACACAATATTTAATAATTATTATAGAGTAGTTCTTTTTTTGCGATTTTTTTTAACATATTCTACATCGAGTTTTTTACCTTTAGCCTGTGCTAACATTGTAACTAACTTTTTCGGCGAATCGCCAACGATCCACCCTTGCTGCGTCGGCCTATCATCATCTTCGCCGTCGTCCCGTAATGGTTTCACTTCGATGATGTCTTGCATTTCGTCCTCGCTCGAGCTTGACCAATAGTACAATGTGTCGGCGGCGTTACGTTTCTGTCGGGTAGACGCTATTGTCACCGAATCGCGCCCTTCTATCGTTTTATCGGTCGCGATGGCGCTCTTCTTTCGGAAGTGTTTTGTTTTAAAACATCGCTTCTTCATTTCTTTGGATTTGTCGTCTGCATCTTCTTTGACCGATAAATCATCCAAGTGATTTCCCTCGTCCATTTCAGTAGCGTCTATTGCGCTAGTTATGATTTGTGTAAATGGATTCGCCGGGACGTCTTCTACGGGGTTAGTATTGATAACATTATCCAACATGGTAACGCTTTCGTAATCGAAATTAGACTCGTCGGAACTCCAATACTCGACCAAAACGTTTTGTTTCCCACTAGTACATTTGCGCTGACTTTTTCTACTCGCAACCCCGATGCACTCCTTTAATTCCTGTTCGAGATTGATAACACAGTCGTTATTACTAGATTTTCTATTTACTTGCTTTTTGGACGATTTTTTAATGCTGAACTCTTCGTCTGACGAATCCGACGAATGTGCCCTCTGCCTTTTCTTCGGCCGGTTAGCTTTCGATTTAGGTTTCGTATCGACACTTTTCACTTCAGCGGTATGATCATTTTTAAGAGTCTCTTTACTTGCGCCGTTACAATTATCTTCGTTTAATAAACTGTCGAACAATAAATTCATCTCCTCCTCTGTTAGTTTGTGTTTCGTTTGACTAGTGTTCTGTAAATTGTGACAATCCATAACGAAATTCTCGACGATTTTCGAATTATCAATGGCGGGAATGTTTTTCATTTCGTCTGCGGCTTTCGGCTTGAGAGCATTCTTAAAAATTCGTCCCATTATCATACATTTCTTCTTTGTAATCGTTTTATTCATTTTCAATTTTCTCGACGGCGGTAAATTGGAATTGTTTAGAGTGGTTTTTTTCATATCCTCTTTACTTTTCGGTAATGTTGACTCGTTTTCGTCGACATCCTCCGCAAGACCCAGCTTGCACGATATTTTATTTTTAAAACTGTGATAATCTGGCAGAGAATCGGAATTTTTCATAAACATATCTACGCTGTCCTGCGTCTCCTCAAAGTCGTAAACGTCATGAGACTTTTTATCGTGACTCGCTTTAATAACTTTCGCATGCTTTTGTGCATTATACCTTTTCTTTGTGACCTTCAATCCTAATTTGTTGTTTACTTTTTTACCGTTCTTAAGTATGTTATTAAAAATGAAATTCCGATTGATGAAGTCTTTTCTCGTGTGAGATTTCTTTTCCGCTATTTTGTCTTGCTCGGCTTCAATTTCTAAGCGTTTTGACGTAGGGCTACAGCTTAGTACCTCTTTCATATCTAGATCGCCTTTCGGAATGGAAACCTTAAGGCCCTCGAATACCTTTAAAGCGCCTTTAGTAAGCAATTTCTTATTCTCATGTTTTTTAACATTTTTTGTTACTACATAATCTGTTATATTTGATTGAATTATTTTAACTCCCTCGCTTTTTCTGTAACAAAAGAAATGGTGCGATTAAAAAATGCGTATTTTATTTAAATTCTAAACTATGCACCAAGTTTGACGATATGTCAATACAAACAAGACATCATTTGAAGGCTCCGAACAGTTAATAGTACTACAATCCAGAGGTAGGTAAGGTTAAATGTGAAACGAAATGTATACAAAAAAAACTGTTCATAAAGTCAAGATAGATTTATCATCAAAAAGCTATAAGTGTAAAACACCCTCTTCCGACAATCCGTACTTGAGGTATAAGGGAATATGTCCAATCACGATAAGATGTCGAGGAGGAGGGTTATGGTTGGTAGAAATTAATTCCTTTCATTGAGACCTTTCATTAGAGTACCATGAAGGAACTAGTCCCCCCCCCCCCGCTTCCTCCACCCCGTACTTTGCTAAGAGGACAGAAAGAAGGGTAGTAGTTGGTATAAAACGGTTCCTTTCGTTGAGACCTTTTTAACCCCCCTCAGCCCCCGCTCACTGATCTCGAAAAAGAGTCGCACGGGAAAGTTACACTTTGTACAGACCAATTTATTTCGATGAGACCTTTCATTCGAATACCATAAAGGGTAGAACATGTGTTTAACCCCCCCCCCCCCCATTTTCTAAAGTTTAACTTGGCACCACTTAAAGCATGCGTACGCAAAATCTGAGACCAATTGGTTGTCGTACGTAAAACTTATGCACGTTTTACTTTAAAAAACAGCATCTTAGGAAATCATTCGTGGGGGGGGGGGGGGGGGGCTTTTACACAGCGAAATTTGATGGCCGTCTGGCACAATTTCAATACACCACCTACTACAAAAAATTCCAAGATTCTAGGACCATTCCCCTAGAAGTAGTTCGAAACTGCAGAAGTGGGTCTGGACGGACAAAACGCAAACAATAGCACATTTTTTTTCATTCTTAAAAAATGCGCTAAAAACCATTTACAGACATATGGGTTATAATAATTATAAGACAAAATGTTAACCAAAAAACAACAGAAACTCGCAATTCCAAATGTCTTATAGTGTTTTCTTACGAAAATCACGATCGCCTACACTTATTTCAAAGCGTAGAGAAAACTAAATAGCTAGAAAAAATGTATGGAAGGTAAAAGGTGTAGAGGAATAAATTTGTCATAAAAAAATACGCAAAGAATATGTGTCTTGTACCATAATCATTTAAATGACTTTATTTCCATGTTGTTATTTGCAATGCCTTTTTCAATGCTTATAATACATAAACGGGTTATGATAGACACATTGCCGTCGCGTCCTACAGTTTGAATTTTATGTAATATATAAAAATCTCGGGTCATATGTTTGTGTTCTCGTTACGGCAAAAATTGAATCATAGTGTAACCAATTCTGATGAAAAATAAAATATCACAACACTCGTCATGGGAAACGCAAAGGAGGAAACCCTACTCCTCCTATGATTGTGGTCAATTTAAAGAGAGTGCCGAAATTATTGGCCGCTTCTATGCCACAATCTTGGGCTATTGGAAGATTTGACAACATAATCCTTTATCTAGGGGGGTACTTCGTTAAGTGAGTTTTGCAAAACCAAAGGAATAGAAATTGTTGCCCCCTATCCAAATATTACACTCTTTCTACAATGGATGTAGCAGTTTTCCATCCATTAACGGTCGCTTGGAAAAATGAAATTTATAAATGGAGAATAGAAAATGCAGGGGTGCGTTTAAAACTAGACAATATGATTTAACAGTAACGGTTAATTCAAATCGTTACTGCCATATGGTAGAGGTTTTCTCCGCCTGTAGACCATGAAGAGCAACAAATCTGGTTCCAGCAAGATGGAGCCACCGTCCACACTTTCAACCTCGCTTTTAACCTTTTGTATGGAAATGTTGAGGGAATTGTTTTCTGGACGTCTAGCTTTTTTACGAGGGTTACCTTGTAATTTTTTTGTTTGAGTACTTAAGGGCCTAAGTTTACAAACTCTGCAGAACTGAAGGAATCTCCCAGACACTGACAGCTATTCCCAGATATGTGACACAAAGACCTATGTAAAACTTCAGGGAAAAACTTCTTCAATATGTCAACAATGCAGGATTCATTTAACTGCTATACTTTTTAAAACCCAGTAATGTGAAATGGCAATGTATTCATTGTTCAGAAATAGAGATATTTTTACTGTACCTTTCTTAGGTTTTTTTAACTACCTTTTAGAATTAAGATGTTTTTTTAGCTGCACCCTGTAGATAGGAAAAAATGTATCGAAGAACCATTGTACAGATATAAATTTTCCAAAAAAAATTCCGCTTAGTGTACTTATATGAATAATAAGCATTTAACCCTACAGTGGTCGCTTGCAGACTCCCGCTCCTCACCACTGATTTTTTTGTAATTACGTGACTATTTAGACCCCCACCGCTCTCATGCTCTCATGCTCTTCTTACCTTCTGACAATACCCAGTGCAAACAGTCCGCTCCATAAGTGTTGAATGTATCTAAAGGGTCTCTTGTTAAATGAAAATCAACTTACTTTTTATGTTATTTTAAACTGTTATTAAGTAGAGTTAATTTATTTATTTTTGGTATATTATTATAAACTTTCAAAAATGTAAAAAGCGTGTACTTACTATATTTTTTGTAATATTTTTTTATAGTAATAATAATTATTAATATTTTTATATATATATAAAATTATAATTATTATTCAAAAAAGGAGAGAAAGATTTATTCCAAAACATTCAAATGAAGGGCAAAGTTGAGTACCGCAGCATTGGCGAAGTCTGCTCTCCAAATTAACCCTGTAACGTCATATATAACCCCTGTGGACCATGAGTCCGCAGCGACTACTGGTGTCCCAAAATTCCACGATAGCATTTGTCTTAAACGGTTTCTGTGTCTACACCTTTTTCAAGTGTAATTCAGAAACCGTAAGATACATTTCAGAAGACATTAAGTGTAATTCAGAATAGTAAATTGAATTTGAGAAATCATCACATGTAATTCAGGTTAGTCATTTTAATTTCAGAAACCGTAAATTGTAATTCAGATTAGTAACTTGTATTTCAGATAGTGTAAAAACTTTTCCCGGCCCCTTTGATTCTCTCCGTGCGCTGAATATAAATACCCAAAATATTGCTTTAAAATACAAATTTACAGGGAAGAAAACTAATTTTCAGAAAATCTATATGCGTTGTAATGTTTCACATGTAAGTATTTTGCGTTTTAATTCGTAGATGTTTGAATATTTAGATAAACTTCTTTGAGAATTTGTGACATTTTTTGACGTTTCGTCCACCTTATCTAAAATAAACTAATTAAACAAATCGCCTTTGAAATGATTTGAGAATAACCCTTAGACCATATAGTACATGGACTGCTAATTGTAACGAAAATATGGTCAAGGACATCGCCTGGGTATGTGAGTTTCAGGGTAAACGAGTCTGTCCGAAGTTGTCCGATTAGATACGATTTGATACTGTCAACCTATAAATTCACAAACGTCAATTAATTAATCGCCTAGATAAGGCAAAAAATGCAAACCTATTCTTATTTGTGGACGTATAGAAGATAATCAAGAGTATTTAAAGCTTCCCGTAGTACGCGGTTACCATAAAAGCTACTCTTTACGCGATCCGAGTGGTGTTCATACGACTTTAGTTTACCCTGAGATTCACATACCCACAGTGCCCTCTATCCGTGACCACCCATTTTGTATTGAAAGCATAGGGATAATAGCAGTCCATATACTATATGGTCTAAGGAGTAACCATGAAAACGCATTTTCTATAACTGTCACAAAATAAAAATGTTAGCGAGTTTGTTGTTTTTTGTTATCGATTTAAAAGAAGTATAATAAAAAATATCGTTCATTACACGTCCAGAAATGCTTTTTCCGTGCTTGCATGACTTCCCGTGTTCGGCTACGCCTCACACGGGAATTTGCCACGCGCGCACGGAAAAAGCCTGCTTTCCGGACTCCTAATGAGATATACCTACTATTCCGTGCGCTAGTCTGGAAAAGGCCAGATACCATTATTTCTAATACAGGTGTAAATAAGGTGATTTCAATTAAGTATAATAAAATAGTTATTTACATTATTAGTGCGGGAACAGTTATTTTGCCGAGGAGCGCGAAGTTTGACGGCGCGAGTGCGCAACGCGCACGTGCGCCGCATGTCGCGCGAATCAAGCAAACACTGTTCACGCACTAATAATGTATTCTATTTTTTGCACGGATTAGTTAAATCGAATTTATATAAATTCAAATCCTTTTCGCGAGATTTTTGCGACATTATAATTCTTTTGAAAAAAATCAAGCCCTCTACGCCGATAAGGTAGAAATCTAGAAATTTAAAATGTGAATTTAATGTTCAAAACTTCTGATTTAAGCTTATTTTTGCCCGTGTACTACAGGGAATGATGTAAAAAAGTGTATTTATATTTTCTTTTTTACTCTTCCATCATACTACTTTTTAGTTTATGATCCGCACTAAATAGATAATTTCGTTGAATTTTTAGGCACTAGTGCGCGAAAGTAGATAGTCAATTGTAAAATGGACGTTCCCGACGTTCGTGTTTTATTGGGAAAACGCGATTTAGAACGAAGGAGTGCACAAATTGTTTTTTAGAGTCCGTCATTTAATGTAATTCAGAATTTATCAATTGTAATTCAGAATTCGTTATTTTTCTCTAAAAATTAAATGAAGCAGTTAACAATGGAACGACTGCAATACTATTAAGGTTGGGACCTTACTCACCAATGTTAAACCCTAGCTTAACTTTAAAAATAAATATTTTGTCTATGTATAACATGTAAGTGTACCTATCTGGGCATTTTAAGATAACAGTACCTGTACTTGCAAGTAAGTTACTGATCTGAATTACAATCCATAGTTTCTGAATTACATTTTATCAGATTAATAAATCTATGATTCTATACACTCCCCAAAATTGAAATTACGGTTCTGAATTACACGCGATGGTTTCTGAATTACAATTAACCTTTTCAGAAATCCAATTGACTAATCTAAATTACAATTTACGTTTTCTGAAATCCAATTGACTAATCTGAATTACAATTTACACTTTCTGAAATTAACTTGACTAATCTGAATTACATGTGATGGTTTCTGAATTACACTTGAAAAAGGTGTAGTCTAAGGTTTCTGTGTTATGAGCATTCAAAGGGGTTGTGGACGTCAATACAGAAATGCAATTACTCATTTAAAAACTTATTACTTATCTTAAGAAGCTACCATAAGACACGCCTAGTGTGAGTGTGAAGACAATTTAATCAGCAGTTCATATACCGTCCTTAAGGGCAAAAGCCCGTATGAATTTGGTCCCCTAATTTTAGGAAGCAAAAAATTTCTAATTATTCTTATTCACAGGCGACCGATTGCGCACATGCCCGCGCCTAATACCTGCGTTTGCGCTCGCGCCGTTCGAGACCGTGAACGGTAAATCGTGGGTCGACATAGCCGCCACGCCAGTCCATCAAAAACATGGTAGTCATCCCAAAAATTAGAGATACAGATCTTTATTTTATGTCTAAGAATATGAGAGACAGACAGACCGATATGATCGAGATTTTGCGACAGGGTACGTAATTAAGCGGGTATCAGTAGTATTGCTATTTTGACGCGCTCCCGTTACATTTTTATAAATGTTTAACCTATTATATTTCTTAAACGGTTTGTCTGATTGAAAAAATGTTTTAGTAAAAAAACTACATTGTTTCATTGTACATATTTTGTCTCGTATATGTATACCTCTATCTCCAATAATAACGAAAATACCTCGCGACTGAAATTGTTATTACACTTCTCGTGCATATACAGCTTTAACAATTTACAGAGTGGTTGTTAAAGGCAACATTGACATTCTTTTTGTTCTGTGAGACGACAAATACAACGAGCTTTCGAATGGTGCACAAATTCTTGAAAAATAATCATAAATAACTTCAGGAATGAGAAGTTATCGTAAAATTTCCAATTTTTGGGAAGTGCGAAATTTTGTACAAATTATTTTTGTCTGGCTATTTGCAATCCCTGCGACCATCGCGCCCTCGTGATTCAGAATCGGCATCTAATTCTTCCCAAGATACATATTTTTCAAAATGTATATCTTCGAGTGCAGATGGCACTATTTTAGAAGCGTCTTTTTGATACCCAGATTCCTGACTGATGGCAAATCAAAGTCAATTTGAAGGTATCAGGGCGCATACATGCGTAAAGCGCAATCGGTCGCCCTGTGAAAAAATATTATTTGTAAAATTTCGGGGCAGTTAAGAATTCAGCCCCCCCCCCCTTCCCCCAAATCTTGAACTAGTATCTTGCATATTCTCACAAATCAACTATCATATAAATTTGCTTCTACCAAAGAAGAAATAAAATATAAAATACTCACTGCAATGGCGTTGGAGAGGGTGATTTGACATCATCTTGAATTTCTACTGGTTGCAAAGCTTCTTCTTCATTTTGCCGTTGATTCTCAACAATTCGTACATTGTCACACTCAACTTCTATCTGATCACTATCTTCGCACGGAATTTGGGCACTTTCAACATTTGGACTAGATCGATCTTCGTTACCGAAATTCGCGTTACCGTTATATTCTGCGGAAGCCGTCGCAACCGATTTTGAGTTAGTCATCGATTTCCTTGACGAGTCATCGCTTTCGGTAGAAATATCTTCAAACATTGGTGGTTGCGTAAAGAAATTGTTATCACTCTTTTCCAAAAAGATTTTCGAGTTTGAATTGTCAGTGTTTGAAAACGTCACATCACTGTAGAAAGTATCACAAACGGGGGTATTCGAGTGAGTAAGATTTAGTGGTGTTGCAGTTGTGTGGTCTAAAAGCGTACCAGCGATGGGTATCTGTTTTTGTTCCATCCATTCAAGTTCGTCGACTGGTTTTAAGCCGAAGTTATTGAAGAATTTCGCAGGCTTTACGGATTTTCTGCAGAGATCGGATACATCTGAACTGCTCTTCAGTAAACTACAGCATTCCAAAAATAACTCCTCGTCCCTATTTAGCACTTTGCGAGATTTCTGTTCTTCAATTGGAAAATGACTAGAATTGCTATCATCGGAAATTTGTTCGTAGTGAGCTGATGGAATCACGACATCGTCAGTCGTGGGCTTGATTAATTTAGCGATAATATTTGTGTTGTGAGTAAACGTAATTTCGTTCGAGTCTTCGGGTTTATGATCACTGAGAATACTAAACGTCGAGGAGTTACTTTCGCAGGAATATTCCGGTAAATCGGACGAGACGAATTCGGCCGACTTCCTATTATCTTCAATCATATTTTCTAGTAAGGATATCTGCTTTTCTACAATTACGTCAGCGGCAGTGTTCGAAATCTTTGCATCTTCAAAATCATCTTCGATGGTAGGCAAAGACGTAGTATCGACAGTTTGCAATTTATCACAGTCAAAACTCTTACGTTCCCCTAAACTTTTGCAACGCTTTATTTCGGGATCCGATTGCAACACTAAATTTGAGAAATTTCTATGCTCAACGTATTCAGTGTCGACTGGTTTGCTTAGAACATCATTTATTATATCGACCAACTTTAGTGTTTCGGGAGGCGACCCCAAATCAAAAGTGGCAGATACTTCACTCTGTGGATAAGCATCGCATGTTACCGATCCAATATTTTCGTAACTCATTTGCTCCTCGTTCATCACATTATATTCTTCTATCACTATCGGCTCATCAAGTTTTTTCGAATTCGTTGCCATCTCCAAGGCTTCTAGTTCTGAAAGTTTCGCAATGTGTGTTAGTGTACGTTTGTGTTTGAGTAAATTCTCGCTTCTCCGAAATGTTTTATTACAAATATCACAATATGCATTCTCCACCTCGCTTGGTTTGCTCATCACCTTCACTTTGGTTTTCCGCACGACTTTCTTTTTTCGCTTTGATTTAGCTGTGCCGGGTTTGGGGATTTTTTCTTGAACATTATCCAACAGTGGGGTCTCGGCGGTTACAACCGTCTCTTGTGCTTCGTTTGCCAACTTCTCAGAAGCTGAAGTATCTGTGCAATCGGGCGGTGCTTCATTGGATTCAATTTCATTATTCGAATCCTTGAAAAGTTCCATTGCTTGGTGAAGATCAACATTTTCTGCACTATCTTTCGGTTCTTCATTCTCCACTTGTTCGGATACAGCCACCTCTTCATTCGCAATTGGGGAAGGATCTGTGTTTACCAAATTCATAACTTCACCGTGATCTGATGTGCAGGTTTCTTCAATTTGTTGCACGTCATATTTTTTTATCAATTGCGCTAGTGGGACCTCATCTTCCGAATCAACAAGTTCATTGGTAGCTACCGCGTTGATAACGTCAATGATATGACTGTCTACAATCGAAGTCGGAGATTCTACTTGTGTCGGGAGCGTCAATTGAATGACCCTCTCATACTTCCGCCTTGTCTTCTTCGTCTTTGGGACTTTGTGTAAGTGATCACTGAAAGTATTCTCCTTTTCGCTGTTTGAAAATTTATCGCTATCGCTGCACACCTGCTCCTTTTCCAAATTTAACTGATTCTCTATGCAACAATTCCTGTTGAATTCCGGATTATTTTCTTGCAATTTATCATTGACAATTTCAGGAATAGTCTTCAACTCTTTCTTCCGAGTTTTTCGTCTCTTATGTTTAACTTTTGCTGGTTTATCAGGTATACAATAGAAATCTTCATAGGTGACCGATTCTGTTAGTACCGAGCGTTGAGTCTCCACGACTTTATTCTCAATGGAAATATTCAACATCACTTGATCGATTAATGGGGCAGGTTCTTTATGTTCTTCACTTTGTTGCACAGTTACTGGAGCATTGTTGGACTCGACTTGCACGCCTCCCGTTGCGTTGTTCAATATTGAGTGAATGGTTTTACTACAGAAATTCTCCAGGGCGTTGCTACCATTAGAGTCAAAGTTTTTGTCATGTAATTTGTTGGTTAACATAGCGATGCAATCGTTCAAACCCCTTAGTTTCTTAATTCGTTTGGGTGGTTGCGGTGCAGGTGTGGCTTCGACAATCTTAGTTTCAAATGGAGCTATAATGGGTACTGGTAAATTATCTTCTGTTGGCATTTTATCATTTTCTAGGTTGGACGGTTCTAACTTATTTTCATCCAAATTAGGTTCAACCTCTGAAGTAGATAGTTGCAAAGTATTATCACTACTTTGCGCTGGTGGATTAATGTTGGTTACAGTAACCACTAAATTTGAAGATATATCACATTCCTTGCTGTCGATATCACTCTTAGAGAAGGATTTACTTTGCGAGCATCCATCAACTTGAATAATTTCAGTCACGCTCTTTTTAACAAAATTCCTCTTTGTCTTTTTCTTAATTTTGGGTCGAAATTTTTGAGAGGAAACTGTTGGTAAAATTTTCGCGCTTCGATAGCGTAATTTTCGAATGTTACTCATATCGCTAAAGTTTTTTTTGCCTTTAATTTCGGAAACTTTTTTCCTTACAACTTTCGATTGTACCTTATTTTTCTGTTTCTTTCTCCTAAGCGATTTTCCACCGTCTTGTTCTACTTCTACTTGTACATTTAATTTATCATTCACTGGTACAGTATCTTTAATTGGACTACCGTCGGCATTTTGTGGAATGTTACTTTCAACTTGATCTTCCGATGTACCATCATCACTACTTCCTGTTTCTGATGATCCCTGATCATTTCGAGTGAGAGTTTTAATCAATTCGTCCGATAGTTTACAGGTAGAGACAATGGGATTCTTGGTTAGAAACCTCTTCTGTATACTTTTGTTTGTTCTCAAAGAGCACCTTTGAATAATGTGATTTTCGTTCTTTTTTCTTTTAAACTTTGGTAATAGTAAATTGTTTTCTAATAAAATCGAACTGTTTGAACGCAACAGTCTTCTTGTTCTGTTTATGTTCGAATTCTTTTTCACATTCTTGACCACGGTCTTCACTTCTTTTTGTATTGGTTGGGAGTTTGCATTAACTAACTTCTTAGTTAATACGGTCCTTGGAAATCCATCTTTAAGAGAAATTACTTTTCTTGTCGTTCTTTTTGCTGGTAAATTCGCTAGCATACGCTGTATGGTATCAGCTGAAAAAAAAGATTTATTTAAAAATGTCTTATTTATTAAGATATTACCATCACTAGGTTTTTGACGAGGGCCGGTGAACTTTTTAATTGTCTTTTTTCTTTTCTCCCTTGTATGATTTCGGAATGCATGAAGTAACCGCAATAAACCTGAAACAAAGAAAAGTTTTCATGTTCCTGATCGTACAACAGGCAGTATTTACAAAAATTTTTCAAATCACAATATGTGCGTGTGTTTGGCACCACTGAGGGCACAACGCAGACTACATGACATAAAAAAACATACGTAGAAAAACCCTGTTGCATGGCTGAGATATCTAAAAATAATTCCTTATGCAACTAAAACAACATTACATTTAACACAAGTATCATGATAAAAGATGTCAGTTATACATACAGGTACTCCTATATTGGTCACAAAAAGAACAAACTTCTAATGCAAGGTCTTTTAAGGAAAAGAAATAATTTCTATCAAGATCAGTTATACATTATCATCCTGAAAACAGAGTGTCAGACAAGTGCACTTACACAAGGAAAATAGGACGTCTGAACGCCACATACCTATCTATTGGTGGGGTCAGAACTTTAAATGGGGATGATGTGTCGGAAGAGAGTTCCCACAATAGAGTGAACTCGTATCAAAAACGTATTGGTCCAGCCAGGTCTACTATGGTTATGAACAATTTTACAAAGAATTTTACTAAGACATTACGAAAATTGTGTATAGTTTGAATGTGTCGCCGTTTAGACCTAAAGAACCCCCCTCGGAATCCCCGGACCTAATTTAATAAGATGGCAACCAAATTTAACGCCAGTTTCAAAATTTCGTTTTGCGCATGCGCAGTGCCACCTTTGTTTATTTATGGAGGGATTTAAATAAAATTTGATCCATAGCCACTTGGAATAATAGCAAATGTAGCGCCATTTTCCAAATTTGGTTTTGTGTAGGATGTGCAGTGCCAACTTTCTTATTTATGAAAGAAATTTTCGTAGGGGTGTTTAAAAAATGCGCTTTACCTGCACAAGGGCTGTGCACAATTTGTACTGTTTTTTTTTAGGTTTGCGTAGATTTTAAGAAAAATTCAGCTAAACTACCCCCAAAAAAAATCAAACACTAACATGTATACACGTCTGGTCGTCAATGGGTATGGCACTCTTACGAATTCTGGTTTTCTTATGTACTTTTTTGTATTCTCTAATATTCGTATAGTATGAGAATATCTTGGATTCAAAGAGATTAAAGATTACCAGATATTAGGGAATACACCAACAGCACTATTTATATACCAGAGAATTTCACGAGACATTAAAAATAGAATTTCATGGAGGATTATAGCTAGGTAAGTAGTGAGGGTAATAACTTCAGGCTCGACTTCACGTTATCAAATTTTATCTCATATCTCCTATTTCTTTGTGGACAAAGATAAACTACTATGCGATCAAAAATGAGTTGCTGTCGAGTCGCCTTTGGAATGTTTATTTAGATGGGAAATCGTAATTAAACCTCTCGCCAGAAAAGATTGCCGGTCACAGAACACTTGATCCTGGTCTACAATCTATGTTTTTCTAAAGATGTGAGCGACTTCCGGGATAGTATCATGTCAATGTTGAACAAAAAGACTTTTCGTTCCACATTGGCACTATCCTATTCCGGAAGTCGCTCGTATCTTAAGAAAAACGTAGATTGCAGATCAACTCAAGGAGTGCTGTGACCGGCAATCTTTCCTGGCGAGAGTTATATAACTTGAACTTCCAAAGGCGACTCGACAGCAATTCATTTTTGATCGCCCGTTACAAGTCTTATCAGAGATGCGATTTTATTTTATAAGAGAAATAGACAGTCATAAATGTGGATTTTAAAATTTTTTAAACCATTTTGTACATTTTCAGGACTGATCGAGACAGCACCTAATTTTTAAACCATTGTTTACTGTTGGGAGATGCGTCTCTTCGCAGACTACAATGCTAACTTTTTTCTAAACGGTAAGTATAAGTAATTTCTTCGGAAAGAAACCTTAGCTTAAGGACGGCATACTATTCATGAGAACCAATAGAGGTCGCCACTGACAAATTGCATTGTAAAATTATATCAAAATTTGAGAATGACTCCTGGGCTTATACAATCATTTTTTAGCTTGGTTTTTGAAAATATAAATTCTACATACATTACTCTAGAGCGACTGTATAAAGGTTTTACTAAAAAGACAGTAATTACTACAATATTCCTAAAATAAGAGGGTACGTTTTATATTTTATTTTAAGCAATTGTTAAATTTTAAAGTACAGTCGCTGTAAAACTGCTCCTCCTCTTTCAATATTGAAAGTTTTGTCATTTACAACCCAATATTGCGGCCAGGAGTCATTTTCAAAGATTTCATTTTTTCATTTTGTTTCATTTTTTTACATCAATCACAATGGCGGCAAGCAGCAGTAGTGCCGCTATTTATTTCTAGATGTCGCTAAGGTACAACTTAACTTGGCGCGCGTCTGGTTCAATTTTTCAATTCGTATGCCGTTCTTAACGTTCTTAAGGACGGCATACGAATTGAAAAATTAAATCATTTATGAAATGAGGCAACCATGATTCAGCTATTAAATATCAGAGGTCGCAGCATGTTTTAAAATCGAAATATCGTGAAGCATTATTTTTGTAGTACATAAATTGTGCTGCCACATCGTGTCGAGTAGGTGGTACTATCTACTTACACAATTGGTTTGTGTATACTCTAAATTAAGTTACTTTTATATGTTGGCTTCCGTGACCTTGTTCACATTCCATTGCTTATTTTAACGAGATAAAAAACAGGTGGTTGACATAGATTAAATTACATTTAAAGGTACACGCAAAAAACGATTATGCACTATTACCAGAGTTATTGAGTTATTATTCTTATAATAATGCTTTGACGTGGTGAATTTAAAAGGATACATAGGGGAATTTGCTTTATTTAAAAAAAAACGGTTTGTTTTTGTTTATTTTGTCATTCCCACAATTATTGTAATAATTATTTTCACTAAACTTCATACTATGCGATCAAAAAAGAGTTGTCGAGTAACCTTTGGAATTTTTGGTTACCCGGAGAGTCCGCGACTCGATTGGCAATCCTTTTTTGATCGCTCGTTATATGACAAGCCGGAGAAATCCTACTGTGGGGTTATAGGGGGCGTAGAGTCCATATCTGCGGATCTGCCCTCGAAATTGGCAGAGGATGCCTAGGGGCGGCGCTACGAGGGTGCAGTGACGTAAAAAATTAACCGTGCCGAAAAAATAGTTACTCGGGGCAATTAATATTTTTTACTGAAAATTCACCCCCGCCCCCCATGATCTCTACCCCTGAGAATTTCGAGAGTAGATCCATTCAATGGTAGATCTGGTCAGTGGTCTCTCTGCACCATAGACCCCCCCCCCCCATAATTTTTATGTAATAAATAATAAATGCATTTTTGCACCCCTGTGATTTTTTAGGAAATGCACGTCGTAGGATAGACATAGGATAAGGGCAGTGTTACACAATCGTGTAAAATTTTACCGTAGGGTCGCCCACGCACATTCAAATCACAAATGTCATTTTATCTTAGTAAAGGAGAAAGAAATGTTGGTCACGTTTATGTACTCAACCATTCATTGTACTTAATGACATCATAATCGGATGAAGCAGTTCCTTATATTTTTTACCGACGCGCGCCAAGTTTAAGTTGTACCTTAGCGACATCTAGAAATAAATAGCTGCACTACTGCTGCTTGCCGTCATTGCGGTTGATGTAACTTTTTAAAAATGAAATCTTTGAGAATGACTCCTGGTCGCAATATTAGATTTGAAATGACAAAACTTAATATTGAAAGAAGAGGAGCAGTTTTAACAGCGACTGTACTTTAAAATTCAACAATTGCTTAAAATAAAAAATAAAATGTGTCGTCTTATTTTAGCAATATTGTAGTAATTACTGTCTTTCTAGTAAAACCTTTATACAGTCGCTCTAGAGTAATGTATGTAGAATTTATATTTTCAAAAACCACCCTAATAATTGATTGTATAAGCCCAGGAGTCATTCTCAAAGTTCGATATAATTTTACAATGCAATTTGTCAGTGGCGACCTCTATTGATTCTCATGAATAGTATGCCGTCCTTAAGAAACCGTAAGACTAAACTGAGTAGTTTTTAATGACTTATCTCAAAATTTTTGGAAACTCTTTCAGTTAATAAAATGCCGCTTATAAAGCAAAACAGATCCGTTGTTTTCAGAAACGGGTTTACTTAATATTATAAGTGTTCGGAATTTTGAAAATGCAAAAACTTACCTACTTTTTATAAATAGAAACCCCCAAGCGGTAAATCACTTCAAAAAAACATTCTAACAATTTTTTAAAAAATTCCGAGGAACATTCCAACAAATTCCACAGAGATTTTCTCCTCGGGATAAACCACTTCAAATTTTGTGTACATTAAAATTCTATTGTATAAAATAATAATTGTGTGTGCATGTGCATTTAAAAAAAATTGTAGAGAATTCTAAAAATTCTAGAAAAATCCTAAAAAAATTCGAAAATTTTACAAAATACGAGTGATGGTCATCAACATTCTGCAGTGATTTTCCTCGTAAACCCCCTTTTTTCTTCAACAATGAAATAAATGTACATGGAATCTACCTGGAAAAATGAGAGTAGTTTCTGAACACATTCCTACATCCAAAAATGACGGTTTTTGCTTCGGTTTTTTTTTGCAGAAAGTCGAGCGGATCAAATATTATGAAACGGCACATTTTTAATTATTATCATTTGGGTTTTATTTTTAAAAAATATCACGAAATGATTTAATTTGAATGCGATCGCGATCGCTTCTGTTGAAAGAACCAATAAGATGCGTAACGGTAAGAGACCGGCACAGTGTTTATTATACATATGTCTATGATTACATCTCGTATTAAAATCTAGCACTAGATGTGTTTTTGTATGTTATACATCCCATGAATGATGAACCCTCGGATGAACCACATCTCTTTCAGGGCAGTAAACATAAATTCGGCAGTAGGTGTGCAGATATATATAAAGATAGCGGCACACCCCTCGACAAGACATTACTATCACTATATTACCCTGAGATTACGGGCATTACTTTGCAGTTATCTGAAATAGTTATTTATAGAAATCAGGTAACCCGCAATGCAGCATATTTGTTGTATCAAGTCTCGTTTGTTTATTAACCTCGTTATTAAAAAACAACGCGAAATACGAGTCGCGCTATTTATATGAATTACTTATTTAAGCCCCTTGTAAGACCACACGTAAGATCGGCTCTTTTTGCATGTGGTAATTATAATTATCCCCAATCGGGGAAGTCCGAGGGGAAGTCCTTTTAGGAGGATCTAGTAAACACAGGAAATATATTTGTTTACTTTTTTTATCCAAGTAATTAAAGAACAATGAACCGTTGCCGTTGTTCCATTTGGCTTTACGCAGAATTGTTGTCTGCAGCTACGCAAGGTCGCACACAAGGACAAGTAGTACGTAACACGTAAAAAACAAGAGCCTTCCTTCATCTTATTTATTGTCTGTGTAGTGTGTAGTGGGTATGTTGGCAAGGTGTGTATTGTATTGCGTGAACTTTGCAATAGAATCCAATTCACAATTTTATTTTGTTTTCTCTCATTTCGCCTATTGGTGAAATGAGCACGAGTAGATTTCGGTCGTTTTCGTCATATTTATAAATCGGAGTTTTTATGTACCTACGATGTACCTACATACATTGCATTACTCGATTATCAGTTGTAGAGTTGAAGATCTCGATAGGTATAGAAAATATTCCCCCCACAACCCTTGTGACTGTTGAAATAAAGGGCCCCACAGACTTCCCACTTGTTCGTCGAATTCGACGACACTGAAAATGTACGACAGATTATGTCCACACACCTCGTGTCTGTTCGATCGGAAGGCAAAAAGTCGAACCAAAATACAGTCCGTTGAAATTTTACACGACGTACTTTACAGACACACTTCCGATTTCTTTGTCAGATCGTGTCAACTGATTTACACGTCGTGCAAAGTCTGTGGTGCCCTTAACACAAAAAGGCAGAAGCACACAAATACCGCAATAAAACAAATGAACAGCAAAGCTGTCAGTAGCGAACAGTTTGCTGCCACTGACTGCTTTGCTGAGGAAATGTGTTCGTTTTACTGTTTTATTGTGGCTCGTTATAAAAACGGCTCCGTTAACTTAGCACCGCCATTTCAAATTTCTGACTAAAGATAGATTGCGCTAGAATCTCTATAGCTAGCGCTAGCTAGCGCCACTTTGAGTTCAGCTAGCGCCATTATAGATTTTGCAGAAAAGCCCTTGACTTTCGGGGGGTGCTATGTTAACGCTAGCACCACCATTGCGTACGATCATTTCCAAAAGCAAGCGCTATGTTCGTCAGACCTAGCGCCAGCTAGCGCCATAAATTTTAGAGCTAGCGCCATCCCCCAATAGAGTGGGGGGCAATTTTTCCTAGCACCACCATTTTGTGTTTTCGGGTAAAATTTTCACGTTTGGTGCTCTGCTCACCTAGCGCCGGCTAGCGCCACTAATTTTAGGGCTAGTTTTATAATTTTGCGGTGTCTGTCCGTCTGTCCGTTAGCACGATGTCTCGATAACGAATTGACCGATTACGATGAAATGGATGGATTGGATCTTTATCAAATTTGTAGATCGGAGTTAGTGAATTGGCAATATAGCCCAAAAAATAAGGAAGGTCCTTTTGACGTCTCTGTGAGTTATGAACCGAATTGTATGAAATTCAATATGCGTATAGCTTTAGCCATATAAAACGCAATTCCAAAAGTTGAGCCTAATCGATCAACATTCGCATCTCGACCATTTACAAACCGGATAGAAAACTTTTTTATTTATGGAAGCATTTAAAAGAAATTTAGTACATAGCCACTTGGAATAAAAGCAAATTTAACGCCAGTTTCATAATTTGGTTTTGTGCATGATGTGCGGTGCCAATTTTCTTATTTATGGAAGCAATTAAATGAAATTTCATACATATACACTTTAAATAAAAGCAAAACTAACACCAAGTTCAAAATTTGGTTTTGCACATGCTGTAGCCATACCCAGGAGCTCGTTTTCTATTTATTTACACGTCGATGCGAAAAGGGCACTGTGAATGTTGATAGATTACGGTCAACTTTTGGAATTGCGTGTTATATAGCTAAAGCTATACGAATATTGAATTTCATGCAATTTGGTTCAAAAGATGTCAAAAGGGCCTTCCTTATTTTTTGGGATACATTACCAATTCACGAACTTCGATCTACAAATTTGATAAAGAATCCATCTACTAAATTTTGTCGTAAACGGTCCATTCGTTATCGAGATATCGTGCTAACGGACAGACGGACAGACACCGCATCTGGGATGGTCAAACTCTTTACCATTTTTAAACCCGAATTTGCAAATCTGTCCCTCTTAGGGTCGGAAATAATAGACAAATTATTTTAATTTGAAATCCTTTACTTTTTGGATTGATCGTTCTGTTTAAAGTAAAAAGTTCCAATAAAAATACTAAAATTTGTATGTAAAGAAGCAAGATTGTAAATATGAACAATCCCTTAATTTCAAAGTAAACAGACGGTGAGGTATGCAGGTACAGGATGTAAATCGAAAAGTGGAACATAGGCGTTTAACATGGGAAATTACTTTTTCTTTGCGCAAACGTTTCCTAATTATTTTACGCAAAAATACTTCAAATAAAAGTTATAGAGATATAAATTCTGCATCTAAATCATGTGAAACGATTATTCTACCTCTTCTTGTACGCGAAAAAATTAATTTTAAAGATTCTGTTTTCACGAGTTTTTAGTATCCATGGACTATGATAAAAGAAAAACATAGTCCATCCATGGCTACTTAGACTTATAGAGATAACTTTTATTTGAAGTAAAATAATTAGGAAATGTTTGCGCAAAGAAAAAGTAATTTCCCATGTTAAACGCTTATGTTCCACTTTTCGATTTACACCCTGTACCTGCATACCTCACCGTCTGTTTACTTTGAAATTAAGGGATTGTTCATATTTACAATCTTGCTACTTTACATACAAATTTTAGTATTTTTATTGGAACTTTTTTACTTTAAACAGAACGATCAATCCAAAAAGTAAAGGACTTCAAATTAAAATAATTTGATTATTATTTCCGACCCTAAGAGGGACAGATTTGCACATTGGGGTTTAAAAAAGGTAAAGAGTTTGACCATCCCAGATGCGGTGTCTGTCCGTTAGCACAATAGTTCGATAACGAATGGACCGATTACGATGAAATGTTGTAGATGGATTCTTTATCAAATTTGTAGATCGAAGTTCGTGAATTGGTAATGTATCCCAAAAAATAAGGAAGGCCCTTTTGACATCTGCGTGAGTTTTGAACCGAATTGCATGAAATTCAATATTCGTATAGCTTTAGCTATATAACACGCAATTCCAAAAGTTGAGCCTAATCTATCAACATTCACAGTACCCTTTTCGCATCGACGTGTAAATAAATAGAAAACGAGCTCCTGGGTATGGCTACAGCATGTGCAAAACCAAATTTTGAAACTGGCGTTAAATTTGCTTTTATTCCAAGTGGCTATGTACTAAATTTCTTTTAAATGCTTCCATAAATAAAAAAGTTTTCAATCTGGTTTGTAAATGGTCGAGATGCGAATGTTGATCGATTAGGCTCAACTTTTGGAATTGCGTTTTATATGGCTAAAGCTATACGCATATTGAATTTCATACAATTGGGTTCATAACTCACAGAGATGTCAAAAGGGCCTTCCTTATTTTTTGGGCTGTATTGCCAATTCACGAACTCCGATCTACAAATTTGATAAAGAATCCATCTACAAAATTTCATCGTAATCGGTCAATTCGTTATCGAGATATCGTGCCAACGGACAGACACCGCAAAATCATAAGCTCCCTACGAGGCTCCCTAGGAGCTCGTGAACTAGCTGTAAAATTAGTGGCGCTAGGTCAGCAGAGCTCCAAACGTAAAAATTTTACCCGAAAAAACAAAATGGTGGTGCTAGGAAAAATTGCCCCCCACCCTATGGGGGGGGGGGCGCTAGCCCTAAAATTTGTGGCGCTAGCTGGCGCTAGGTATGACGAACACAGCGCTTGCTTTTGGAAATGATCGGACGCAATGGTGGTGCTAGCGTTAATATAGCACCCCCCGAAAGTCAACGACTTTTTTGCAAAATCTATAATGGCGCTAGCTGAACTCAAACTGGCGCTAGGTCAGAAGAACACAAAACGTCAAAATTTTACATGAAAAGACAAAATGGTGGTGCTAAGAAAAATTGCTCTCCTCACTATTGGGGGGTGGCGCTAGCTCTACAATTTGTGGCGCTAGCTGGCGCTAGGTCTGACGAACACAGCGCTTGCTTTTGGAAGTGATCGGACGCAATGGTGGTGCTAGCGTTAACATAGCACCCCCCGAAACAAGGGCTTTTCTGCAAAATCTATAATGGCGCTAGCTGAACTCAAAGTGGCGCAATCTATCTTTAGTCAGAAATTTGAAATGGTGGTGCTAAGTTAACGGAGCCTATAAAAACTATATCCAACATACCGCGCCTCTTCTTTCTAGTTTTTGATCCGTATGGACGGTATTTGTACTTCTTTCTTTCTAACATCCACGCCAAGTCACCACCACACTCCAACATGTGTCTATGTAAATCTCCTAAACAATTGAACCGTTTATTGCACTTACTACACACCCTAGCGTCACTCCTTCTCCAAATATCGTTCACTAATTTATCTTCAATTGCACCGATTTTCCCCAAACCCGGAATACTTAAATGTCTATACAATTCACCCTGATTCCCGACAAATTCGTAATGCTGGCACCACACGTTTACGTGAAACAAATTTTTATGGTCCACTAGTAATTTTGCGTTGGGCAATTTCAGTCCGCACGCCGCACACACATATATCCTCGTGCGCGCCCACTCCCCGGTCAATTCGGTCATTGCAGTCTCGCCATCTTCCACACGCTGAGGCACGTACGAAATCCGTTGCAAGTTGAACACGTTCAGCATTTCTTCAGCCTGAAGCTTATTTTCCGGTATAATTGCTTGATTACGAACACTATCACTTAACGGCAAATCAGTCGAGGACGTATCCTTTGGAAATAAATTATTTAGCAGATCGTTCAGAATTATGGTAACATCCAGGTAGCTTTCCACATTCTTTTCGGCAGGAACGGAATTTAGTTTCTCCAACGCAACCGTTCGCATAGCTTCCTCCCTTAGATCTTCAAGCGGCCCGCGCTTGTCTAAAATCCCGTTCAGTTCCTCCAACTGCACTTTCGTCTTGTACTCGTCGCTCTTCTTGTATTCCACCATTTCCTTGTCGGTTTTTTGATCGCTCAAAATCTTCTGTTGCCTGTTCTTCATCACTAACTGCGTCCACATATCAAGCTTTGACAGGTCCTTGTTGCCCTTCCTCTCCGAAATGACCGCTTGGTACTTTCTGCGCGTGAAGTACTTGAATGGAAGAATTTCGTCGGCGGACGCGCTCCCTTTCTTTTTCGATTTCGAATCAAATTGCGACTCCAGATCGTCAATGATATTCGCTTCGATTAGCACGACGGGGGTGGAGGTCATGGCGTACCCGCAATTGCTGTTTCCCTCCTCCGGCGGCGAGTCCTCCCTCTTCTGAAAGCTCGAAATGCGATTTTCCGATTCGACACTTTTGAATACCTTCCCATCGACGAAGTTCAGCAGATTCTCTTGGATATTGCATTTGACCCGATTAAAAAACGCCTTATCGAAAACGTCGTCAAAAGTTAATGAACTTATCCGTAAGTTATCTATCGAATGGTCCGTTATCTTTTTTACTCGATAGGATATGTCGTAAGGGGAACAGCTATTTGGGTACGTAATGTATTTGGTAGTGAGGTTCGATTGAGGTTTTTGCGTTGGCGGCGCGATTCTTTTCTTGCTGTTTTTCGCATTTTCTAGTATTTTACTGCGTTGCCTAGTGATTCGTAGGCAGTGCTTCATTCCCATTTTCGTGCTAATTACCGATAGCTTTTTATTTCGCAGTTCTTTTACTAATTTCGTTTTAGATTTAATTTTACTATTATTCGTTTTTTGAGAGTCTTCTAATGAGTCAGGTAACTGTGAGTTGGAGTTGCCGTTTTTGTTATAACTAAGATATTTAGACTGGCACTTTCTTCTGGTTTTTACTGTATCACTATTTAAATAATTTAAGGAATTTTGATTATTTGCTTTAATGTTTCTTTTATTTTCTGTTTTTGTTTTGGCTAGTGGTGGTTCTACCTTTTCAGATGGTGTTTTCGTTGTATCTTCGTGCGTACCCGTTTTGAGTTCAGAGGTAATCACCGGTTCCGTTGAAACTCTTAGTGGGGAAACGGTGCTATGCATCAAGGTGTTGTGGGATTCAATCGCGTGGAAGGTGGGAAATCTAATTTCGCATTCTAAACAACCGAAGTATTTTTCCGAATGTTCCGTAACGAAATGCGCGAATAGTTGTTTCAGTTCGAATTTTTCGGTATTTAAGTCGCAAAACCAACATTTAATTAAAGATCTTCGCACATTCGGCAAATTTCGAAATTTACTTAATTTTAAGGAATGGAATCGATTCATGTGCTTCTGTTTCATTGCGGGGATGATGAAGGTGCGATCGCAATAGAGGCACATTTCCTTATTTTTCATCACCTCTTTCGATTTTTCGCCAACAGTGACGGCCGTTTTAGCTGCAATTAATGAACTACAAACTTTTAATACATCGGGAATTCTATCTAATGGCACACTACAGCAAATGCTCGGTTTCCCTTCGACCTTAAAATTCCTCAAACATCTCATTTTTACAATTTGTTCGGCGACTTTTTTATTCTTCTGTTGTATTTCTATTTTGCCACGCATTTCCTTTGTTCCTTCGACATTCGTATCACGCACGCGGACAAATTCTGCCGACATATTGCACTTAAATTCTGTTTTGGTTGCAGTCGGTTCGATAGCTTGCGAGACTGGTAAGCTATCAGCTGTTTGCGTTGTGAAGTCATTTTCACACAGACTTCCGCTTACCGCGTGAATCGAAACGACCGATTGTGGAGTTTCTACGATATGATTTAGCTGCGTAAAGCCGTCTTTCTCATTTCGATCCACGTCTGAGTCGAAGGACCCGCTATTCACCATTGCGAGCACCAGGGGATCCCCTGAAACAAGTAACTTGTATTATTCTCCGATATTGACTCAACTGGGAATACATATTAAAAACACACTAGAAAACACATGGATAAAAACATTTACAACAAAAGTTACCACACGTTTCTTCATTTCAATTAATATTTCAAAGCATACAATTCGATGTGGTTCCTCAAGACAAAAAATAAATCTTCATCTATTATCGAAAGAAATAGGTAGCAGTTAAGTATGTTTATATTTCTATTAGAAAAGCCTCGAATATTAGCATAAAAAGTTAATTTTTTAAACTGCAGATTTCAGATTACGACGGAAATTGTCACGTCGCGACGGTAGCGTCGGCTATCTACTATTATCGCGACTATTAACCTTTGCAACCTCAAGTTGAATGCATACGGTTTATTAAGCAGACGTTCTGCTTTTTAAAGGATACGGAGGGCAGTTCGGAGACTATAGGGACGATGCAGAACGAGATTTTTAAAGTTTTACTGCCCGTTCAGTAGAATCAAAATCGAAATATCCACTCGTCACTAATTGAGAAGTTCGCATGCCTTTTTTTTACAGAAAATCCCTTTATACTTAATCGTTAGTAAACTTGAAAAATTGGATAGGTAGGTATAGCCAAATTTTGTAAACAAAAGCGGATGATATCCAAATGCAGTCTGTGTATTTTTCATTACCTTTCATTAGAGTACCTACCATGAAGGATAAAACTAGTTCTACCCCCCCCCCCTCTCTCAATTGAACGTAGGTGTCGAGGTAGGTGCTTAGAGTAGATACTCAAAATAGAAGTGTTCTGAATTTAGGCACAATTGAATACATACTTATTTGCATCGCCTAACTGAACACATCTCAAAAATCCGTCCCGGAAACGAATATTGGTTGTAACTGATACCAAGCTGAATTTTCAAGCAACATGGTAGGAAAAAAGATAAAACTACTTGATCCAAAAAAAGTTTAATTATACATAGATCTGATGTTGGGAGTACATGTTACCTAGTATTAGCTTCCTAATTTGTGTACGCATGCGGCTGAGTGTGTCTTAAAGTTCCACTTTTCTTCTTGACTTCTGAGTTGATACCACAATCTACTTAAACACGTCCACGCCATTCCGGCATATTGTTTGCAAAATCATTAGTACTGTGTGGTCGACCAATATTATAAAAAATTGTCTCACCTCCGGCCAAAATAGCACCCCACTCTCCAAATGTACCATAATCAATTATTGAGTGATTACACGAACTCATTATGGCTAAATCTAAAGCGGGGGAAACCCTGGTCCCTGTAATGTATACATTATTTTTCTCTTTAAATGTTTTCGAACACCAATTAGGATCGTCACTCGAAATGATGAAAACGACGCTCGAATATTTTGATTCAAAGTATTTCATGGCGGAGTAGTAAAAACTTGTATTCGCCAGACGAATGGAATATTTTCTTTTCAGATACGCTTGATAATCTGTTCTTCGAATGTGCACCGACACAAACGTACAATTTGTGCGTTTCTGAGAAGCTAATCTTAAAATATTTTGGCTTTTATTAATCAGTTCCTTTTTGAATCTAAATTCGCATCTTATATCCTGCGCCCATCTTACCGATAATTTTTGTTGAAACGCAAATGACGGTATTACTATACTCTGATTCATGTGTTGCCACGAATCCAAACTGTTCACAACATTTTTCTCGTCAAATGGACAATGCGAGATTTCTTCAATCAATGGCACTGAAAGACGATCAAAAATTTGGTCCAGTGGACTACGGAGACAACGTGGAACGTAGGGATCCAAACCAACAGCTCTGGCAACTGCCCATACAGATATATAAGACCACATTTTATTACCAAGTCGTCCTTCAGTTGCAGAAGTAACTATGCCATTTTTTGGACACTGTTGTTTCGCCCAACTTTTTTTCTCTTTTAATTTAGGGTTGGAACACACTTTTTTCTCCAAGTCAATGTACCGTTTGGTAGGAGAAGCGTAACTAGATGTAGCTGGGCGCAATAAAAAAAATTGAATGTATAGAAACCATGTAACACTAGATATTAAAAACACAGCCAGGATTACCATCTTCAATGTAACTCCCATTTTAAATAATGTGTTCTTTATACACGGTAAGTATATCAGGTGTAATTTAATAATCCTGTTGGCTTCATGGATTACATTATCATCACATGATTAGATACACTATACGCGCAGGAAAGTGTTAATTTGCTTCGTCAGCTAATAACTCGGAATCATTTTTCCATTCTATTTCTACAAATTCTATCGCCCTAAAATTAGATCCTAGGTTGTGTCTGATATTGTCATCCTATATGTACTGTTAACTATTTACCCCGTAGTTGATAAACAACCTTATGTTAGGCGTTAGGAAGTTTATTGGTTGCATTTATTCAATGGAGGGTCTTAAACATCGGAATAGTGCGGTCGAGAGTGCGGTTTAACCGCTAGCAACAGCGAGTTCTAATCTTAACAAGTAAAAAGGTTTTCGCTTTTCGAGTAACTACTGCGCATTTTCCATGCATTTATCAATACTCCCCAAAAGACTATGACTATGTTTTCCTCGAGGTTTTCCTTTACTAAAAGCATCTATGGTTAAAATTTCAAAAAAATATCTCGATAAATAAGACAGTTGATATTGCGTAGCCTGCGCATGCGCACATTAATTGTCAAGATTTTTTTGCTCAAGTCTCAGAGATAGCTAATATAATATATTTAAAACTGTAGGAAGAGTTAAGGGGCTCGGACAGACGGACGGACAGAGAAAGTGGCTGCAATAAAGCACTCAACTTTGTTGGAAAATGCGTTAAAAATGATTTTAAATTGTGCTAAAAATTAGTAGATATCACTTTTCAAACTGAATAACTAAGAGATTATGTTAATTGGGCATTATGATTTGTGTGTTGGCTAGAATTTCGTTTAGAAAATTAAACAAGTATAAATTGTGCACAACTCTTGTGCAGATAAAGCGCATTTTTTAAAAAGAAATAGCTTTTGATTTGACATCACCAATGGATATATTCCTTGCAGACGTCTCAATCGCCCTTTGTGAGTACCCTCTTCCGACAGGATAAAACTAGTTCCACTCCCCCCTCCCCTCAACCCTGTACTTTGATAAGAGGACAGAAAGAAGGGCAGTAGTTGGTAGAAAACGGTTCCTTTCGTTGAGACCTTTAATTAGAACACAATGAGATCAAATTAATCCCCCCCCCCCCATTTCCTAAAGGTTAACTTGGCACCACTAAACGCATGCGTATGCAAAATCTGAGACCGATTGGTTGTCGTATGTAAAAGCATATCAGGAAATAATTCATGGGGGCCCCTTTTAGACAGCGAAATTTGATGGCCGTCCGGCACACCTTCAAGGTATAGGCTACCTAAAGCACAAAATTCCAGGACTCTTAGGATAATTCCGCTAAAAGTAGTTCGAAACGACAGAAGTTGGACGGACAAAACGCAAACAATACCACATTTTTTTTAATTCTTAAAAAATGCGCTAAAAATATCTATAAATAAGGAAATTAACAATGCGCAGTTTGTGCGTGCGCACATCTGATTTTTACAATATGTGATATGCTTGTCTTTACTAGAATCCTCTGGGGTTTTACAATACAATACCGCAACTAAAAAAGTTGGCATCGCGCAGTCTGCCTATACGCTCATTAATTGTCAAGATTGTTCTTGGCTCAGGTGCTAGAGCTATAAGCTACCGAATTCAAAAAGAACAAACTAAATATCTTGAAAGCTGTAGGAGATTTGTAAAAAGTTTCACATTATTCACAACTCAAGCTCCTCATAAAAAATGAAGGCTGGGATCTTAAAGACTAATGAAGCCTTGAGATGTTCCAAAACAATCTACAAGGTTCTTGGAGGTTCACAAAACCTTTTAGACACTCTTTAAGATAATTGCCCACGTTTGCAGATAGAGTTACACCCATTAAACCTATTAAACGACCTTGTAAAGACTTTTAAAGGCTATTCAACACCAAAAGCTCCGTAAATAATAGATAACAACACTCTTAAAACCTTTGCTCTAAAAGAGAGGGAATAATTTCAAGTATTCTAAAAGTTTCTGAACACTCTTGGAAGTTCTTAACGACTCATGAGAGTGCTTTAAGGCAATTCTTTTGAAAAGTGTTATCGAGTTTTAAGGGCGCTTTAACAATCCAAACCTTTGAAGATCCTCTCTTGGACACTCTTGGTAACCTTTTGAGCTTCACGCAAAGTATTAAAAATTTCTCGAAAAATTTAAAACCTTTAAAGGTTTTGAAAGATTCCTTTTTAGCACATTTTTGCAAATTTATTTGTAAAAAGGTTGCCGTCTGGCTGTCTGGCAGCAAATGCGGGACCGTTGAAGAATGCTTGTAGAAAGACGATTTACGTAAAAGTAAAATACAACAAATTATAGTATTATGCTATTACAATGTTTTATTTTGCGTTCCTTCCCTACTGTACTTCAGAGCGATTGCATTGCACCAACAGACAAGGTGCTGGTTTCAAATCGATATTATGTAATTAAATTTGTTTCAACGATCTGAAGATTTGTTTGTAAAGTAATACTTTAACTGGACTGCTGAGAACCGATATGTGGCCCTAAAACATTTTGTAAACCATTACTTTGAAGACTTGTACTTCCATATCCAATAGGCATATAGAGCTGTGGTTGGGTTTAAATTGTGTAATGGTTTATTTTTTCAATTACAAGCATTATTAGTGTTCACGGTATATTTACTTGACTGATCCTCGTAACTTTTGAGTAGATGGCTCCCTCTATTGTTAGACGTCAACAACGTAATCTTACCGCGCAGTGGTTCTAGATTGTTCACTTTCATTTTCCTCTTTCTTTTGTGAGTCGTATCAAAGTTTGAACGAACAGCTGAGGCGTTAGTTAGAACGCATGGAATTGCCATCATCCATATTTATTAGTCTCTGGCGATTAAATTCATTAATTTGGGGATTCCGGAAATATTTTTAGGACGGATTCACCTAAAAACTCCAACAGTAAGGATATAATTGCGTTTTTTCTGTCTAATCGTAAGTACCGCCAGTTGCATTTTCCGTAATTGAAGTGTACAATTCATAAAACAACAAAAGTTATGGCTATTGCTACTAATAACAGAAATGTTGAAATTTATTTTTAAATTTGCGGGTATACCAAAAGCTTAATAAAACATGTAAAAACAGATTTGTATGTACCTTTTAATTCTGAACAACTTTAAACTCTACAGTTTTTTCTGTAAAATGTACAGGAGGGCAGGATATTGCGCATAAAACTAATTTCCCATGTTAAATCCCTATATTCCTACTTGCACCACCCGGTATATTTAGGATACATTATCGCAGTCAACATTGGCAGTCGTTCTAGTTTCCCGGTTTGTCGAGTTCCATGCAAGGTTGTCGGTGTTGCAAACGACAAATTACCCGGGGAGATGCCAATATCATCGCTGTGTAAATCGACTGGTGTAAATGTAAATCCCAAATTCGTTATTATCTCCGTCACTTCTTTTGCGTAAATTAAGAGAATTAAATTTCTCACACTTGTTGCAATGTAACGTCTAATGTGGGAAATTGCTCAATTGTGCAAAGAAGCATAATTATGCATTTTAAGATAGGTCAATGAAATGAGCTATATAAAAATTAAAACGTCGCTGGTGTGGCTCGTTCTGCACCGACTAAAATTAATATTCCCAGATCTTAGGGATGCTGGAGTATAGGTGATCCTTCTATGAAACGCCAAATAAGATATTAAAATTAAAATTACCGCCTTCATTATAATTTTTCTCAAACTTGAAAATCCGAGACGAAATAAATTCATTCGCGTTATACGGCAAAAGAAGCCTGAAAAATTAACACGGTCTCGTTGCGCGCATGCTTATGATTATTGTATTGTTGCCCCTAACGTTCTTCCATCTTTTAATCTGAAGTCGTATTTGAAATATGTACTTTGGTTATTACGTAAGAAGGGGTGGTTGCCATTTTTTTTATTTCGAATTGATTTTATCAGCCCTTCAAAAGCAGGGTTTGCGTCGTTAATGGTTAAAAGGGTCACGTCGCGTTTGGTTCCATGAACTCAATTTCTCCAAAATATGGTACAAGTAAATTTATTGAAGCGAATTTATACAAATTAATTTTAATCATTGTATATCGCTTTGTAAAGACCGTAATTTGAAGTAAAAGGCAACCCCTTTCGATGAACTTTGTTTGCATTTAAAGACTTTTATTTACCTACCAAGATGTTGAAATTAGAACGTAATCTTCTCTTCCAGTCCTGTTCAATCTTGCATTAAAAAAACACAATTTAAATTTACAGGAGCAGCCTCTTGGCTATTAAACTAAACGAAAAAGATCAACAACCATTGAAATGGGCAATAGCATTCTAGCAATATATTTACATACATGTTAAAACTGTAGCATGTGCAAAACCAAATTTGAAACCTGATGTTAGTTTTGCTTTTATTTAAAGTGTATATGTATGAAATTTCATTTAATTGCTTCCATAAATAAGAAAGTTGGCACTGCACATCCTACACAAAACCAAATTTGGAAAATGGCCTACATTTGCTTTTATTCCAAGTGGTATGTATCAAATTTCATTTGAATCCCTCCATAAATAAGAAAGTTGGCACTGCGCATGCGCAAAACAAAATTTTGAATGTGACGTTATATTTGCTTTTATTCCAAGTGGTTATGTATCAAATTTCATTTAAATCCCCCCATAAATAAGGAAGATAGAACTGCGCATGCGCAAAACGAAATTTTGAAACGCGTTAAATTTGCTTTTTTCAAAGTGGCTATGTATCAAATTTCATTGAAATACCTTCATAAATAAAAAAGTTTGCAATTCGGTTTATAAATGGTCGAGATGCGAAAAGGGCACTATGAATGTTGATCGGTCCATTCGTTATCGAGATATCGTGCTAACGGACGGACAGACGGACAAACACCGCAAAATTATAAACTCGCTAGGAGCTCGTTAATCATGCAAACCACATTGTCCAAGTTCGGTAGCTCGCGACCGTATTTTCTTCAATTCGACTTCCTTCAATTTTTATTGACATTTGGAGTGCATATATTCTTCTGTATATACAGGGTGTTAATACTAAGTCATTACACCTGAAAAGGGCAGTTAGAACTCATTAAAACAAACAACTGATCTTAAGTTTTTAATTTTTGATTTGGTGCCCCGGTTCGTGAGTTATTGGCGTTGTTTTGTTTTTCGAAAAATCGTCCCTTATTTTAAGGACTACTAAAAAAACCTAAATTTACAAAACTATCCTTCAGCTCTCTAAAACAGTGTTTCTCAAAAACTGGGGGGCGCAAGGCGTTGTTAAGGGCGGCGCAAGATCCCTGATGTGTTTAAGGTAAATATTTACCTTTAACATATTTATATTAGGTATTTATGTACAATTGTTCTTGGCCAATTCTTACACCAATAAGAAGGTATCTACAATTCGGTAAATTCGCCTTTTTATGCTGATAAAAGCATAGATGTTGCTAATGTGCTATAAAAGAAGAGATCTCGAATGAACCAAAAACGACCTCAAAAGCCGTTGATGTTTAGAATGCAATATCCGACTTGATTGAAAAACATAATATTTTATGGGCCA